ATAACTTAAGGAGATTTCGTATGAGCAGCTTCTTTAAATGATCAATAATTAATAGTATAAGTTATTGCCAATGAAGATAACTGTTCTGAAAAAATGTTGAGAATTACTCACTCAGTTTCAATCATTATTTAATTCCTTTTTTATCCAAATATAGAATGTTTTTTGAATTAATAAGACTGGTCTATAATATTGTTTTTTTATTTCAAATGTTATGAAATGAATAATAATATAAAAGTTGCAGATATCATTAAGAAGTACGTTGTACAATTAACATTTTGACATACGCCGTTGATATATTATATATTTATTCAAATGAAATTATCTAGCAGGAAAGTATGAGAGATGAATAAATAATCTATCATTTTATAAACAAATTTCATTTCTATTCATTACCGTAAAAATGATATATCTATTGGAATGGAGAAAGTATAAGCATATGAGAATGAACAAATGAATAGACAAAGGGAAGCCTAAAGCGTTCATCTTTAATTTTAATTTTTATACATTAAAATTTCTTAGATTAAAATTGAAGCACATGTGTGTGTCGACAGACACACACACACGCACACACACACACATAACCACATGTTGTTTATTTTGTTCTGGTTGTCTAAAGAAGAGTATGGGACTGGTAAGGTTATCGATATCGATCAATGGCAAATGAAATTTTGAATTACGTTTCGCTCAAAACATTCCACCGTTGAGGAGTAGGAATATTTTTTCAAAGTTGAAAAAATAAGTACTACAGGACGATAGTTATCTATTGATATTTGCAATGAAATCCGAAGCACACCAAAGTGTGCCATCATATCTTGACAAACATTGGTTCATGATCGATTCAGAAAACTACGAATTTTATTACTTTCTACTTAATCCGGCTTTTAATAAGACTGTCACTTTTAATCGGATTATCACTTACAAAGTCAGAGGATTCAAAGCAGTTATGATTATAAGGTAAAAATGAATAAAAATATATGGAAAAAATAATTCTTACGCAATTTGAAAAGTATATTTAATTTCTTAATTTTTTAATAAAAAGAAGAAAATGGGAGGGAATGATACGGAAGGCAATAATCAATAATAAATTTGATTAACGAATTGTCAGCGAAATATAGCGTTGTTAGTGATGATCTCTGATCACAAATAATTGGAAATATTAATAACAAACAAGATATTTCCATTTCATCTGGAATTTCTCTAATATATCTATCTGTCAAGTATTAAAATATAAAATTTAAAAAGTTGAGGAAGCAGTAAAATTAAATTATCCCTTTTAATTAATTAATGTCAATTTTCGAAGTTTTGAAACACTAAAAAATTAAGCAAATAAACAAACGATTGCGATAGAAATTATCGCATTGGTTGCATAAAAAAAGAACAATTCAATAGAAGGCACCATTTAAGAATTTATATAATTCCGCAAAATAATTTCCTTCCAATGAGAATTTTTCGGAATGTTACCTAATAGATTGACAACAAAGATTGTCAAGTGAATTCGATGTATTTGATGAAATGGGAAGTTGTCCTTTGTCCTTTATTCGCCTCTTTGCACTCTTTCCATTTGGAATTTGTCATTAGTGCCACCTTTGAATAAGCAGCATACAAGGTGATGGATGATAAATGGAAAAAAGACTTGGAGAGATAAAGGGGAGATTAAGTTTGGGTAGGTGGAGGAGAGTTTAGGCCTAGGCAGATGAAGGCGAGCCTAAGATTGGACAGAAGGAGTGCAACTCAGAGATATACTCATATCGTGCATTTCTCCGCTCCCATTCGAGTTATTTCAATGGGGGATCTTTTGCTGCAGCGTTATAGTTCCGCCCAATCGAGGCGTAGCTGAGATTATTGGAAATTCAGAAATGCATGGCTGTTGAATTGCTTGGCCCATGGACAACAAGCTACTATAAATCATCAAGGGATTGTTCTCCATTCATATTAGCAACATAACTTGGTCAATCCAGGCTCATTTGTTAGGAAGAGATCAGCCAAGAAGCTATGCTCTTTGCCACTAGTAAAAAACTATTATAAGTTGAAATTTTCTTCTGCATTAATCAAAGAATCATTATCAAGGAATCATGATATTCCTAAAGGAAATGTATAATCAATCACTTATCATTTATCTATGTTATCCAGAATCATAGAATAAATGATATATATGGGCACGGAGTTTTATTGGTCATGCTAGAGACAATGACAATAAAAGTATGGCGACAACATCGCTAATCATTTCACTCATGGCTTATAGCTGATTTATACTTTAGGATCGGTCAATTGCAATCACGAGTGAAATTAGTAAATAAAATTCCTTTTTTATGGAATCTGAACTTTTGTAAGGACAGGAAAATACTACTCCTCGATGTGATTGATGAAAACCAAGCGATCACGTTAAGCAAAATTAAAGGAGTGTGTATATCGATATGAAGTAGTATTGCCATAATTCGTTTCATTCTTATCTCAATAACATCAAACCATGCTAATTAACTTGCTAATAAAAAGATTAATCACAAAACTAACGAATGTATTAATTTCTTGCACATAACTTAAAACAACCTTTAATTTCACTTGTGACCTCTTTCGCTCTTTCCCTTCTACTACAATGGTGTAAGTTGAAATCAATAATTTCATTTCAATTTCTTACAAACATCAAATCGACCCTTTCATTTGCTAATAATATCAAATATCATGAAACTCATCAGCCTTCATCTCAAATTGCAGAAAATGAACAACAAAATAACAAATATTAAAAAAATGACTTAACTCAATGATTGTATAATGAAATTAAGTAAATGATTAAATATATACCAATTAAGGTAATCAATAAAACTGAAAACTGGTTGTTAATCTGCAGAGCTGCGTTACTAATGCTGTTTTTGTTATCGTTGTGTTTGTTGTTGTTGCTAAGGTGGATTGATAGTTGTTTTCATCAATTCCATTGGCTATATCAACATCACACTATTACTAGATGAAAGCAGGTTGAATTAATTCCACCCTTCCCGCCAGCTACTTCAATAAAAACAGGTAACATAGATTCCTCCTTTCATATCAATGAAAACGGATAATACAAACTGATTTCCTATCAATAATATTTGCAATTAAAAAAATGTTTCATAAATTAACAGGAATGCTAAAATGTATCAACGAGAACAAAAAATACTTAAGGTACACGAAAGCTGAAAAACTGACAAGAAAATAACTAAAATAAAAAGTGTAAAGTATGTTGTAAATTTAAAATCTAATGTGTGGGAGGCATTTAGTGAAAATATGTTCAATTGTTTTGTTTAAACTAAAATAAATGGAACGCTCTGAAAGCTAAGATGAGAAATTTCTACTTCGTATTTTTATTCTTTTGAAAAATTAACGCTAATTATTACAATTTTTCCTGTTCAATAATATTTCATTCAATAAATTCGTTTTAATTTTATTTCAGTTACTTAATGTTAATTAAATTTGTAATATGCATAGCTATATCAAATAATTAGCAATAATTTCCATAACACATTGGAGTAATGACCAGATTCCGTCAAAAATTCTGAAGATTTGCAAAACTAATTAATAATTAGATTGTATTAATATAAATGAAACATTAAAAAGATACTAAAAAAAAAGTTGGATTGGAAATGGAAGAGATTGGTATGAGTCATTATTGTAAAATATCTTCGCTATTCTATCTTTTCTACCCATTTTCTGATCCAATCGATTATAAATATTTTTTCATTTCGTAAAGCAAACTTTGTCTCCAGCGGAACAGTCTAGAAAAGCATGCACATTTCATTATTTACTGCTAAAACTTAACTGATTTGTATATTTGCTGATAAGTTAATAAATTTAAAAGTAAAAATTGAAATTTAAAAGAAAAGAACTAAAACTTTATATGAAGTAAAAATTACATTTTTAAATCACTAAGTTACACGAAATCCAAAAACAGTTGGAATGAATATGTTGAAAAGAATAACACTAGTCCGATGGAAAAAACAGGATTAAAAGTAAGGAGGAAATTAATTAAAAATAAATTTAAAGCTAATATTTAGAACAGAAAGAAATGAAGAAAATATAGCCTAACGAAATGAAAATATAAGCGTTGAAATATTTTTACTTACAGAATTGGTTCCATATTTCTTCTGTTCCATTCAACAGAAGACATTGAATAATAATAATCATTGAAATTATCAGCGTTATTCAAAGAAGGAAATAAAAAACATTTAAAGCTATTAGGAGTATTAATTTAATGTTTAAAATGATCACTAGCAATTATTCGAAAAAAAATTATTAATCTCTGAAGTAATTTTCAAAGAAAGGCTTATTGCGAGCTGTTATAAAATTATGACATTCTTTATTTACTAAATTACATTCCAATAAAACATACACCATCTGGTATATATCAATCCCAAAGGAAATCAATGAAATAAATACCACAAAATATTTCATCTGTCATTGATTGCATTGATTGCATTTATGAATATTCAGTGTTTATGAATATTCATAAATATTCAATGTTTGCTAGCACCTTTGTTAGAGACATAGAAAAGCGGTGTGCCTGGTTTATTGGCGGCAAAATCAAAGAAAAATAATTGACAATTAGCAAAGACATAAAATGAACAAAGAGAACAAGCAAAACGAGAAAGACCAAAAAGTTTTGGCAGAATTTAAATAATGTAACAATTTTTCCGCAGAGACGAGAAACACATAAGCCTCCTGCTATTCTTTCATAAATAGCGTTTGCTTCTGTATATTTTAAACTTGAAATTGTACAAATCAAAAAGTTTGAGTTCCCTGATACATATATGTATATATATATATATATATATATAAGAACAACAAATCGACTACAAAAATCTCATAACTTTTGGACTGAGGAACTTTACCGAAAAGTTCTATCTTTAAATTAGTTGTTTAATCTTTCTCCTGAAAAAAACTCCGCAAAGTTGACTTATATCATAAATTGATACTTAAATTCCAATATGATACTTTAAAATGAAATTTAAACATTAAATGAAATTACTACATCAGGAAGGTGATAGTTTTTCTTTCTTCACCGTTTCCACATCTTCCCCATCACGTGACTTTTCATTAAGTAGTACAAATTCGCGTGTGCTGAATCCAAATTTCAACACATCCTTCTCCCGCAACTCTACGAATCTAGACAAATAATTTAATGAGATAAAAGATAATTGGATTTGCGCATGAAAGTTATGATCAAGAAAAAGCCCAAAATGAAGATAATTCGTAACAGTATTATTTATCCAAAAATGCTCTAAAATTATTGCATTAAACTCAGAAATCTCGTAATAAAGTCATATATAAAAAATGCACCGTTGTGACTCGATACGTTCATTATTTAGATATGTGCCATTCGCTGAACCGAGATCTATTATGTAAGGTCTTATGCGCTTTACAGTTGTTCCATCAGGCAAATCCTTCGGTGTGAGACGATACTGAAAGACAGCATGCTGTTTCGAACAACTAGGATGATCTACTGGGAGATCAGCGATTTTACGATCACGTCCGATTAAATACGCTGATTGTCGATGAATATATAACACTGGTAATGCTTCATCGCCCTGTGCCGTTTATAACAATAAAATCCGAAATCATACTATTTCTTTGTTTTATTGTGTTTAGTGCTAGCACTGCGTAAAGAATATATTAGAATAGTTCTATATCTCAAAAAAGACAAACAACAAACTGACTCTACAAATCTGCTACGGTAAACTTGTGCGTTATACTAATACTGAAGAACTATTCTGGAGCAAAATATTAAGTAATGAAAGGTGAAAATATAAAAATCATTCATTAATATTAATATCATAATATATCATAACTTCAACATTTTTCAACACTTCAACAATATCATAACTTCAACATTTTTCCTTAATACGGATAGAAAATTTTAAAAAAATCAACATGCAACCTTAAAAGGATAAAGACGCCAACGTAATTTTGGTACATGGGCGTCAGATGGTTCATTGTATTTGATAACAACACCTCTGTACGTATTCGTATCTTCAGCCAATTTTCCGCTCGGTTCAAAATTCGGCTTCTCTTTTTCGATCTTTGATTCTTCTTTGCTATTGTGATTACCGTGAGGGTATTCACCAAACTGACTACTGAAAAGTATTTGTCTGGAACTAAGGAAACGGAAAATCACATGTATCCTTCAAAAATATACTAAGACAGGTTCAGGATTACTAAGAAAGAAATTTTGAATATTTCACAAATCCAAAAAACTGACGAACGGTCCCTGATTGTATTTTTGAGTCTTTCTTCCTTTGTATTATTAACTGATAACTTCCCATCGGTTTCCTTGTCGAACTCTTTTTTCATCCCTGCATAAAAGACAAATTATTACTTATGAAAGAAATATGCTTCTGCCAACCAACAACTATCATATAAGTCCTGTAATGGAACGAAGTCAAATAATGCAACTTCTTCAAACATAAAGCAAACCTGTTAACCCGTATAATGTGAATGTGTTCTCTAACAGTCCTAAAACAAGTCAAACTTGCTTCCATCGGTTTATTGATCAATAAAAATGAATGGGATATGGACGAAAATAAGTAAGACATCCTAAGGGAGAGGTTCGAACTACATGCTTTGGGACAAGCCAAGCTAATTTACAGTAATCAAGAATATAAGGAAAAGACTCAAGAAATTCTTGCATCACCTATTATTTTCCAGAATCTAAAAGCCTCACTTTTCCGCAATTCATGCTTGCTGAATGAACCTCGATTTTCCTCTATTCTCTCTTTCGTAAGACTTTGTATCCTTTCCTTTTCTTTTTTTGACATTTTATCACTGATAATTCTTCCTGCGACGTCATTATCATCTCTGGATTTACGATATCTCCAGTCCATAACATCTTTCCTTCCTTCTTTTTTTTCTTTGCCGTTCTGCGCATGTCGATTATGTTTTTCATCACTAATCGTTGAATCTTTCACACGGTGTACTTTGTGATGGCGAGAGTAATTTTTTTGGTTTTCCCCATGCCTGCGATTATCAGAATCTTTGCAGTAAGTTGCAAAGCCACCTGGAAAGAAAGCAGTCAACATCATCTTTGATTTTATGAAATAGAATTTATTACATTAGTACTCTTTTCTGAAAGAGAAAAGAAATGAAAAACAGTTAATCATTTCTTTTTGCTCCCTAATATCACGATTAAGGAGAAACTCGTGACTTACTTGGGAAAACCTTTTTCATACAAATGATGTTAAAAGCAAAATTTTCAGGATCCTGTAACTTATAACTGAGATCCACCCTGCCATCTACCAGGAGCTTTAAATTATAGGTTATACAAAAGACTGACAACTGCTATCTATAAACCACATAGTAAATAAACTTGCCCGATAATATTTACAAGAATTACAGATCAAATCTAAAAGCCATCGGAAGCGATCTTACTTGGATGAAATTCAGAAAACTACTGGCCTAATGATACAGAAAATCAATTTTCAGATTATTCTTGTTCAAACAATCACATGCGTGAATAAGATTAATAGTCAACAATCTTAACCAAAAAAAAAATAAGGGAAAGGAACCGGAGGAATGTGCTGGATGAGAGCGTGAAGAATGATTATGAGAATTTGCGGGTGAAGAAGATCGACGAGTTTCTGAAGAATGAGACTTCTCCGAATCATTTGAGCTATTATTTCTGCGCTTACGTGTCATCTGAAATTCGCAAAATCCAAATTCCATAGATTCATTCTTCTTGTCTTAACAAAACCACAACAGCAGCTAGGTAATCTAATTTGAACAATTTCTCAATCATAGATGCTCTACAACTTGCCCGATAATCCCCTCGTCAGTAAGCCCCACAAGGTTGTCCCACCCTCCTCTTACTGCTTTTAACACGGCTCGCTCTCTTTATCCGTTAAAAATGTGCGCTGTGTTCCAGGGACTTCTGTCTTCTACAATTGCAAGCTAAATTGCTTTGAACATTTTGTGCGTTGACAATGTAGAATGTCACTTATAAATACGAGAACAGAATAACAGCCTTATCTACGGATACCAATTACCATACACCTTTGCTTTTACTATCAACAATACACTCTTCCTTCCTGTACAGTACGTCTTCCTTTCTGTACTACAAATATCTCCCCATTGTATAGCTAAGGTTGATAAAAAGGAATGAATTCACTTCGATAAAAAAGAATGGAAAGTTTTATATTGTTAGAGAGAAAGAGAAAGAGACAGAGAAAATTATAAAGCGAAAAGTTCGAAAAAAGAAGTGATAGGATTTGTTAGTTTAATGTCCAATTTCGGTCATCAAAGAGTATGTGATGAAAAAAGTCCACTTTGCCATATAAGCTAATGCCTATCCTACAACCCTACCCATGCTATCATCATCACCATCCATAAGCTCTTTCCCACTGTTTCTTCGCTCTTCGCTCAGTCAGTGTCGTTCTGCCGCTTTTTGCATTTTATTATAATCGATATCCATAGCTATTCAATATAATCGAAGGTGTTTGCTTGACAATTCTGGACATTTTCTATTCATAAGTGTGAGCATCAATTTCTGTTTGTTTCACAAGCCTAACTTTTAATTTTATTCTTGAGCTCAGATAGATGCCTAATATTTTTCAGGCATCACAAAAGCAAAAAATTTTAAGCATCAAACTTAGTTGTATGTGTTTGATGTTCTCTGAATTTCCCCGAGAAAGTTCATCGACCGCCTACTATTCTTTAGATATCATTAAACGACACAATAATAGATTGTTCTTGCGTGAAGTTTTCGTTTAAACTGGGAAATCTTTGAAACATTTTTATGCATGCAAACTTTGTCTTCTTTTAAAAACCCGTCAGTTATGTCGTGAAACTATCCAAAGCTAATTACATCATCGGTTTACAGCGAAATAAATTTTTTAAAAAGATTGAAATATGTACTGTATGGTTGAACTATCTTTCGATGAATTGTAAAAGACTGTTAATAAAGATGAAGTGGAATTAAGAACATCGGGAAATGTATGTAATTAAAAATTATAGAATTATAGTCATCCATGAAATTGAAAGAAATTAAAGGATGTTCATTTTAATAAATTGGCTTTATTAAGAAACATAAAGAATGGAGAAAAATGAAAATCCAAAACTATAAGACAGAGTTAAGACGAGATAGATGTGGAAAAGTGACACCATTTAAAAGTGTTAAATTAAATTTCATTTTTAAAACAATCATTGGACAAATGGATGATAGATAGTAAAGTAGTGTTAATTGAAATGTAAAAAAAGAAAAAAAATTAATAAAAGGAATTGTTGAGAAATTATGAGAAAATAAGAGAAAGCGATGAATTAATGAGATGATAAAATGGAGATGATTTTATCTTTGTTATCAATATATGTTTTAATAATTTAATTTAAATATTGATCACTTAAAACTTCGAAATTTTCTAGAGAAATCCATTGAAAAATACAAATTCGAAATATTATTAGAAGAATTGAAATCTGTGCGATAGCAACGATGGCTTACACACGTCATTACGAATCTATTACCAGGTAATACTTTAAAATTATGAAAGGATAAAACTTACCATTTTTCACTTTTTTATCTACATATATGTTTGAGTTATATAAGATGTTTGCGGTCATTTTAAACTTGTCCAGAATAAGTGTACTTTTGCGTCAAAATTTAAAATGCTATGAGAGATGTCAACTGTACCTCACAAATCATTCCTGCTAGTGATCGAACTGTTTAATTTGTCTTTTTTGAGCTATCTGTCGATTCGTTGTTATCGTTATTACGATAATATTAACAGGATGGATTTCACAACAAATTGCTGAATATTTCAATATTAATTAGCAATAATATTGAGCATCTGATTTTAGCGGTTTAAATTTCGATCGTTTTGTGGATCGATTTGATGAGCCTACACTGAATAAAATGCGCCAGCAATACTGGACAGCTAAGCAATTAATCAGGAAAAAATTGGGAAAGAAGGTTAATGAGATTTTACCTGTTACAAATGATAGTATTGTTAGTTATTTTTATTAGTTAGATAATAAAAATTTTTTAAACCTTTTAAAAAGCAATTCAAAGTTCTCTCATAGAAAATAAAATTTGAACGAAACTTGATAGAAGTACTAATTTCAGGAAGATGAACATTTGTTAGCTTCAGATGCGGAATTTGATACCAAAATAACTCTCTTTCGGTTCGTTCAAGAAACATCAGACCAGATGCTTTGCTATATCGATGATTATCAACATTATCTAAGCGGTATTCTTCTTAGATCAATCAATCATAATTTATCCAAGGTTTCTAAGTTTTATAATTTCCACATTAGAATATTCATCAAAAATTTAAAAATTTATCGACGTTAGTGTTTCGCATACATGTTTAAACATAGATTACCTTTTTCATATGTTATAGCTTATATTTCGAGGTCTTGAAAAAGAACTGTCATTAAAGAAATGGAACATAATCAAAAAAGTAGCTATTGTTATCGAATGTAATAAAAATCTTCAGAATTAGTGCAAATGGAATTTGAATTGAGTAAAATGTTGAAAGTGAATGGTAGTGCAGAAACGACAGCTGCTGGCCGTGTTATGGTCGCTGTTGCCAGAGTATTAGCGATATCAGTACATCATAGGTTATTTCTAAAACATCTCTTCGCTATCCTCGATTCATAATCATTGTATTGTTATGCAAAATCATAATTTTGTCTCTTTTTCCAAATGATGATCAAATTTTTTGACGGACCTTTAATTTTTTACTGTTCCTTCTATAAGTGGTAAAAAATTTGTTGATTCTCTTTTAAAAAGTAGAGACATTAATAGAATTTATTAATAAAATCATTAATAAACAATTTATTGATTAATAATAAACAATTAATAAATTAATAATTAATTAATTAATAAGCAATTTATTAATAGAATCTGCAAAATTTGATTGCTAGATTACAAATCCGAAACCCTCTACTACGATTCTTTGATGAACTTCATGTTTTCACGGAAAGAGCCATCTTGGATTGTGCGGATACAGTGGATGCTGCGGAAAAAGCTAGAACTGAATATAGAGGATCATTATTATGGATGAAGAAAACAAGTAAAGAGGTTAAGATGTTTCTGGATCAAATTTCTTGAGTGTTAATCAGTTTCTACTTACTGTCTAGAACTGATGTATTTCATTCAAATATTAGGGGTTCAAGGTAATTCATTGTCTTACAGATGGTAATGCCTGACCTCTGCAAGCTTTATATATTCAGTCCCCCGTCAACTTGATGACTAATTTCCTAGTGTCGGATGTTAAGAGTTTACCCTGATAATACATGTTTGTTTTCTCTTCGCATTGATTATCCCATATTATAGCTTGACCCAGATGCAGAAAATATTTTGGAAAAGTTTCGCACTGCACAGAATGTTGTTAGACGAAATAAGGAGAAACTGGATAATTTAAAATTGGATACTCTTCAAAAAGTGGATTTATTGGTCGCTAGTCGCTATAATTTGTTTTCGCAGGTATTATGTAATCAACTTCATTTTCTTATTCGAAGCTCACTTTTTGCGAAGGATTTTTATTTGATGTAACTTTGGTGATATGTACAGCATCGTTAAATCATTAAGATTTCACATAAAAATGGGAGTAGACGTGAAATTTCTATCATATATCTGTCAGATTATGAAACTGAAAAACTTCGAATTTCTTGGTAAACGATCCATTTAAAATTATTAATTGTTGCTCTGCATGTAAATTAATATTTGATGTTTAGCAACTAATATAAAATAGCTGTGGATTAATCTTTCTTGAGTTGCATCTCAGATTACACATCATGATCTGGTGGTCGATATCATGAATGTTTTCCAGAATGATCAAATGATTTCTAATGATACCAACTCAAGAAAGAAAAATAACTCAGAAAATTGCACATTTCATTTTCATTCAACTTATGATTCAGATTAATAATTTAATTTGTTGCATACTTTGACAGTTATTGGAATCGTATCAGAAATTATTATACAACTACTATGAGCAAACAACGCTGGCATACGAGAAGATTTATGATTTCGTGTCCAGTCGTAAACATTATGAATTTGAAGTACTTGCGGTAATTATTTTCTAAATTCGAAAATGTCGTGTGTACTTTTACGTGATCTAAGAGAATGTTGGTTCCAGTCAAAAGATAACAAATAAGTGAAATATATGGCGATTCTTGTAGGATTTGATCGAACCTTCGAAAGACGTCGATTATGAGAATGACGACCAAACGACAACTAACGAAGGGCAACCCGATAGGTTGTTTATTTTATTCTCGATTGTACGCTAAAAACTTTAAAAAGCACTTAAAAAGAAATTTGCTAGTATGAATGGCAATAAATTTCCGGTTCATTTCACTCACCAATAATAGTAAGTTTCAGTAGCTGATCATTAAATATTTTTCAGTCTAATTGAACTTGATCAATGTGAGCAGGAAATGGAGCAAATATTACAAGATTTGGAGAGTTTGAACGGGCATGATTTATTGGGCAACAGAATTGAAAGTCCACTGGGCTTACCAAAAGAACATCAAAATTGTGATAGCATTGAACCAATAAGTGATATACCAAAGCAAACATTAGTATTAATTGAAGCACATCCAATCAATGAAATATCAAGTACCACAATTCCAGCTATAGCTGCGCCACCAGGATGGAAGTCAAAGAGAAATGGTAAACTTCAAATTTTAGTCTTATGATGTTCTGAAATGGGATGAAATATCTCGGGAGTCCGAGAAAATAATGATGTTGAGATTTTGATATGCAATCGTTACGTATTAAATAGTAAATTTTGCAATAGTTTGTGATGAGATTGTGGTGAAATCGTGAGGACTATCTGAATATACCAACTCACCTAACTACAATTGTTACGTGAATAACCGCGAAAAAAATGATTATTCAGTTGTTCATTGTCCATCCGACCTTATGGATTTTCCATCTTTGGATGATACTGCTAGTGTAAACTCATTCGCATCTGATTGGTCGAAGTTAATGGAAAATGTAACTACACCTGATGCAGTAATTACTTCATCTCCTGTTCCACCATCTTCATCATCATTAGCCCTACCATCTCAATTGCTGCAATTTTCTTCAATGGAAAGCGGTTTCCCGAACCCGTTCGCAGATTCAGTAAATCCAAATTTCGATGTAAGTTCAATTTGATAAAACAATGGAAAATTGCAATCTGCTTAGTAAGACTTCAATGAGTTTAATTTGAATACAGCTTTAGACGTCTTCTACACAACCGTGAACTATTATGTTTGCAGGTTTGGAAAGGATTTTTGGAAGAATTTGAGACAACTAAAGTGAGTGATAGTGGAGTGTTTAAAAATTGTTGACAGGATTTCTTGCAGAATCTTGAACATTCATTCTTTTTATGTTTATGTTTATAAAGAGGCTCAAATGCTTCTAAGTTTCATATATAAATGTATGATGCTGACGAATTAAAGATATTCGATTCGAGTGAATCCACTAATTTGTCTTTTTTCTTCTCTTTTATACATGAATTTCAATTTTTTATGTGAAATTGCTGACAAATGAAAAGTTTAAAAATGCAAAAAATATCGCTGGGAATCTCTTTTGTTCTGTACGATAAAGATATAAAGGACTTTTTATCTCATTCATCAAATGTTCCGTGTATTTGCGCTGAGAATTTTTTGAAAAAATTCAAGTGATGAATTTTTCAAGTGTGTCAAAAGGAACATTTCTTTGAAACTCCGTTTTTGAAATGAGAGAAAAGATTTTATTACGTAGACAAGGAATTGAATTATAGGTACTTTGACTTCCGTTCCGAAATTTTCAATAACGACTTCAGTAGGCGCTCATTTTCTTCTCGGATCCTTCTCTCTTCCTCACGCTGCAAAAGTAAATTATACTGTTATACTGCGCAGATCAATTTAATGAAAGCTTATTGACTGAAACTTGCTCGGAAATAACGAAATTAAACATCAATAATTCTCCTGCTTGATTTGCACGAGTTAAAAAACTAAGAGTTCGGATATTATCGCGGTACGAAAAGATGAAGGGGACAAGAAAAGTCGAAGTAGATTGTTGAAAATTTCATTAATTGAAATTTACGGAAAGTGTGTTTTAAAATTTCAGCAATGTCGAAGAGATTCAAGAATTAATTTATTATCTGGCATTTCTTATTATTTGAAAAACTTATTGATGGAGAAAATTCAATAATTTAAGGGATAAATTGTGCAATGAAATAACCTTCTGTAATGACATTCTTGGACGTGCTGGCATTGATTTAGATCGATGTCTGGTTTCAACGACAGGCTTCGCCTTCAGTATCTTAAAAATGGCTGAAGAATACAAATCTTAAAAATCGAATTTTGGACAAACGAAAAATAATTAAAATAAAGCTGAAAATTCAACAAAATAACTCGTTCATCTTCTGAATAATGAATATAAATGGAAGTGATACAGAGAAGTGTAATCTCTATAAATTAATCGTACTATTCTCCTTATCATGAGAAATACGTAAGGTAATATAAATTGTATCTTATAGAATCGACGAACTATATGGTATAAATTAAAATTTGTGTTTTAGTAATGAAATTTTATTGAATTTTGCATACCTTCTCTTTGTGTTTGATAAATTGATATAATCTCTCGTGATGTTGTATTAAATTATTCATTCCTCGTATCGTGGATGTCGAAATATCTGAAATTATAATTACTTTGAAGAAGATTTACATTGTATAAGTACAGTTTACAATGAAGCCAATTGAATTTATCAGAATTTGAAATAAATTAAAGAAAGGTCAAAATAAATAATCATCCTAAAACATCTTTTCCTGAATTAATTTACAAAATATATCCCATTAAAATATTACTAATGTCTGAAAAGATGATAGATTGTAGTTATGGCCAGCTGTGATATATTAGGTTAGGTAGGCATCACCATGGAAACGAACAAATGATTGAAATGAAAGATAATATTTCTTAATTCTCCTTTTCAGTCTAAAATTTTCATTTCCAACCAATAAATTCTTTTAGCTATACACTTGTTAAAATTTTCACGTCTATTTTCTATTTTCCGATAAATCAAAATTACTATCAACATATCATTATCATTGTTATCTAATAAAAGGTCAAACTGTTGAAATTTCTTATTTCGAACCAACAAATTTTAACAGTTCATGGCAATTTTTCTTTTTTTTGTCATTTCAGATAGTTGTAAATGGAAATATCATTAACGACTGTATCGTTTAAAAGTTGTACAATTGAATTGCTCATTTTGATGCATTTCGTTCCACAAATTTCAACACAATGATTCATTCAACGATAAACGATCTTCACCGTAATTGTTTGACAATTTGTTTTTATTTCTAACTCTTTGCATAATAACAAATCATTTTCTTTCATTTACAATGCGACAAAATTAAATTTGTCAAAATATAGCAAAGAGCTGAAAATGTGTTGTGCTACAAATAAGTTTAGTTTTACCTTCTCTTCATGCTTTCTACTATTTCATTTTGTAACAATCATCTAATGTAATGGACATTTCAGAAGTTCGATTAAATAGACGTCAAGAGAGAGAGAGAGAGAGTAGTCCTTCTCTTCTTATCAAATGTTATTTGATGACAAGCTAAAATTAATGCATGCATTGGTCCTCAACAAAAACTCATTTTCGTCTTTCTTTCACTTCTGATTAAACTATATGTGTTGTATGTGTGTGTGTGCTTGTGTGTGTGTGTGTATGTGTGTGTATGTGTCATCAAGTGTGTCACTAATCGTTTTATCCAATGCATTGCTTGTCATAGAAGTTGGAGAAGCTGTATTTCTTTTAACATTATCACTATCTCCTAACACATTGTAATGCATTAATAGTCGATCAATTTTAATTTCTATTTTTCAATGATTGCATAAACTAAGAAAACGCTTGGGCCCATCAATAATTCGACGTGGTGATATTAATTTAAAAAAGACTAAAACGGTTAATGTCAAAAAATTGAATTTCATCATTGCTGATAAATTTGATTCATAATATGCAGAAAGTAATCTCAGTTCAATTTCAAGGATCTCAACTTTTTTTAAACGAAATTGTCTTTGTTTTCAGAATTATAAAATGAGAATTAAATTATTTAATTAATTTGGGTTCATATTTTTGCCTAACATTTTGAGCAATGTATAAGCAATTGCATTTCTATTAAATTCGTCTTCAAATTGTAATCATTCGTTTTGGAAGTTAAATTGCTTAAATTACAGAGAAGAAAAAATCCGAAATGGCGGCTTCGTCTTCACGAAAGAAGAAGGAATGATGAATATATGGCTAAATATTTCTATTAGAAGATAATCAACGTATAATGTCAATGACGCTAAAATGAACGCAAATGAGCTATTGATGATTCCATTGCATCTTACCACGCCACCATTACTTGTTATGTGAAAAATTAGATGTGATAAAAATATAGACAAACATTGGAGAAATGTTGTTGCGGCGTGGTTATCTTACTTTGAATTCATTTCTTATTTTACTTTCGCATAAGTTGTAATTTAGTAATTGGTATTAACTGGTAGCTATTTAACTTATAATAATTATAATTAATCTCTAATTCTCATTAAATTCGAAAAATTTTCAACTTTTACGTACTAATTCTTATCCTTTCCATTGATTTTCGTATAACGCATCAATTTCAATTTTAAATTTTAAATTTTTGCAATTAAAATATTAGCAAAAATGAAGTACGGTAATATATCGAAGTGGAAGATAAAAATTGATTAGTATGGTAGAGATGAATAAGCAATGAGGGAAACAACGATGCAATAAGCTATTCCCAAATGATAGTGAAAAAAAGTTCAGTTCAGTACTATAAGTCGGGCCTTTTTGCCCTGTTAAGTCATTAGCAAGGAGTTATATTCAACCACCATATGCTAGATGCTTTATGACTTTCCAGCAAATTTGCAAATTCCTATTAAATGACAGCTTCTGTCAATAAAGAAGATAAGACTTCACTAGCCCTAGGGAAAATGGGAAATTAGCAACGGAAGTTGGAGATGTGAGGAAGCAAACTGAAAAGTTCTTAATTGTAACTATTTTCAAATTTCATTCAACAATAACAACTTACATCGGTTTTTCTTATCAATTCTGCGCTTTAGCATATAATTTTCCATGAATTTCTTGTGAAGTATTGCAAATAATTAATTATTTGAAAATGCAAATTTAGAATATGCATAATTTACATAATAAATTCGTAAATGTTAATTTCCATCTTCCTTTAAGATACGATAATATTCTATTTAAAATTAGAAAGTTGCAAACATTCTCGTAATGACAAATATATAAAGGACTTCTTTGAACGATTAAATCCTCCCCGCTCTTGCCATCTTTATTTCGTCTCTTTCATCTCTTAATGGTGTCACTGATTGATTGACAAATGAAATGCAATTATACCTTCACTTCATTTCTTTTCAGATATTTCAACAGAATTTAACATTCTTCTTCACTAGAGATTTTGTATCTTCGTAATTGTTTAAAAATCTATAATATCATTTTTGAAATGATTACTTTTTTCCGCCTGAAATTGATGATAATCATTGTGATAGGTAATTGATGACAAGTAAAAATACTAATGCGGAATACATAATGATGATCATTGATTATCATAATGAGATAACGATAGCAATGATGATGATTATGGCAATAAAATGAGCCAAAGATGATAGGAATAATTATCGCACTTCTGTATCGTGGATAAGAATTGATGCGTTGAAATTAAAATACGGAAACTCAGGTTTAATGAATTTTTAATTATCACTTTCTTTGGCAGCATTAATTAATTTATGATAAAACTGATATATTAGAGAATCCATTGTGTTGACTTACTCCTTAGATCCTATATATCATTCGGACTAAATGAGAGACGACTTAAATGTCCAATGTGACTTGGCTCATTTATAAGTCATTCACAGTTAAGATGTTAAATTAATCTCAAAAGAATGAAACTTTCTTTCTTTTCTGTATTTCTCAATAAGAGAATAACTCAACTTGAGCCTACCTCATTAGTTAGGCCAAGTTTAACACAAACAAAGAGAAGTTATTATCATATGTTAATATAGCTCCTACCTTTGCTCCCTTCCACTGTTAACTTTTCATCCATATATCTGCTCTAGAAGTTCAATCAAAATTTTAATGAGATTATCAAAAGGTAAGAAAGTAATAATTCAAATTGATATTCCATAGAAAAAAAAATTGACTGTCTAAACTTTAATGAATAAGTGAAACTATGCCGGAAGAGATTTGACTCAATTCTTTCTTATCAAAGTAGATTGTAAACAAAATTATATAAATAATACTGTATTCAATCCAAAAACATTCCCTCATCGATGTAAATGATTGAATCATTGAAAACAATACTTTTCCAGTAATTTGATTAATTCTCAATTCGATTGGTTTATCATTTATCATATTTTACCATTTGCGCCACATTCAGGAAAGGGAAAAGTTAATAAAGAAAGCTTGGGAAGATTATTGAAGATAAAGATCGCAGCAATAGGAATCCAATGAATGTCCAATGATACAATGGATGGTAAATATGCTACAACGCTTTATGTAACAGAAAAATGCGTCAAAGTTGTAAACAATGGAAATGATAACTATTGCCTTTTTCAATGAAGCTAAAATGTAGAAGGATGTAACAATTTTAACCAATGTTTATTTCCATCTTTACTTGTTGTTTTATTTATTCGATAATTAGACATGTAATATCTCTTTTGATAATTACTACCATTGACTTTTTACTGGTCATTATGAGGAGCAGTTATTATTTATGTAAGATACCATTTGCTCTTGTTAGATTAACTTCCAATCATAGGAATATCTGCAATGAAAATAACGGCGCATATAGATAATCCTGTTCCTGTGTGGAATTTTCTCTAATATCGGTGTTGGTGACATACAGTGAAATAATTAAAATGGCGCTCTTGACGCACTTGACAAATGATCAAGCGTGGAAGGGTATTCACAATTATATCAGATCGGTTCAGGCCGAATTAGATGATGTATCACCGATTCAGTCCCTCTATCAATGTCACCATGGATCCGGACAGGTTTTTGACCAGCGATAGGGAAAAGGGGCAGAGGGCATTGCCTCCCTCATTATATGTGCATTTCCAGCAGAGATAAAAGCCTGTGCAAACCGTTCAATATGCTTTTAAGCTCTCTTTAACAACGAGTGTATGTGTTTGTGTGTTTGTGTGTGTGTGTGTGTGTGTGTGTGTGTGTGTGTTTGTGTGTTTGTGTGTGTGTGTGTGTGTGTGTGTGTGTGTGTGTGTGTGTTTATGTGCGTGCAGCCAGACCGATCCGTTGAGAGTACTTTCACGTTGGCATGCACCACGGGTGCCAGGGCATTGCACTGCCATGCGATCGAGGGGTTGAAAGGAGGATGGAAGAGAGGCCCGTGCAGGAGCAATTGGCTTCCGCCTTTCTTCTCTTCCTTTCTTCTTGGCTGACTTTATCTACAGATGCTGCTGTTTTCCCCTAAATTCTGACCTCTTCTTCCATGGTTGTGCTTCCTCGGCGGTACATAACACTTTCCGCCTCTCTCCTTCCCGCCACTTTCTAATTTCAATTCTAAATGACCATTTTCTTTATGAAATGTGAGATTTATCAAACTTCCATTATGTGTTCCTTTCAAAGTTACAAAAGAGAATTCATTATGATATTTGATTTTTGCACTTTCACCAACAGCTTCCTTAATGAAATTTGGCTGTAAACATAAATTCGGAACTTACAAATGTTAGCACTTATGTATTGTTGCATACATTTTTTTTACCGTTCGCATCTATTGACCTTTACCCTATACGTATTTTTACAACTCATTGAATGATTAATTGCAATAGATTTTTCATTTTTCACTAATTGAATCAACTTACCTTGAAAAAAATCTTTTTCTTTACGTTTTAGAAAGAGTTGTAACTTCCGCAAACGATTCATTATGTTATTATCCCGAAATATCTCAAATTAGACCAACGGAAGGAATGTATTCATTAAAAAATGCATGCATTCATATAAGATGTGATTAATGATTGTATAATATAATTCCCAGTTCATATCTCCCAGAATGAATGCATAAACTGATGATTTGAATATTGTTGAGAGTTTTTGTGCTACCCTTCTCTCCAATGACAACTTCCCAAAGGTGCGCCAATCAAAGAATGAACACTTTGCCGTCATTATATAAGATGTAATTTACCGCCAGCTCTTTTTTCTGAAATAAAACTGGAAGGATTGCTGCTTTTCAAAAAACTTGTTTGATTGTAAGGAAATTTACTTCCACGCACCTATCCATCCCTTCACAGATCTATGCACAAACGTACACATATACGCATACACATATACAAGATAGATATAATATGGATATACACACACATACATATGCATTCACATATGTATGTACGATCCCACATTTACTTTCGGATGTTTTGGCCCATTTGTGTGAGCTGAACAGTCTGTTACAAAGACATCGATTAAAGGCTTAAAAAAAATGGCCTAGGAATTTTGTAAGATTACATCAACTAGGGAAGAATATATGTTTTTGGTATTTTATTAGTTTAAACAAATGGAGGAACGAAAACTGATAAATTTATTGTAGATGAATATTGTCCTTGAATTTACTGCCTAAAAGGATATTTAATAAATTAATTACAAATTTCGAAGTTGAATTTGATTTCATTACCACTTCATAAATATAGACTAGAGACTGTGACGTCTTTCAATAATTTTTTTGCAGAACACAAATTATTCTTAGAAATATTCGGTTTTGGTAGCTTGCACATGAATTGTTCGTAGAAATGTTCGGTCTTGATAGCTGCATTCGTCATTATATTCCGCGGGATAACGATTCTTCGGGATGAAGCAAGCCCAGTCTCACATCATCATGATTTAAGACTACTAATCATTACCTTAATTTTATATGATCCATTTCATGTTATGTTACGCTTATTGCCTTTTTGAAGTGTCATATTTTCTTTCCAAAAATTGATTTAGTGAATTATTACTAAAATTGATTTAATAAATTACCGTTAAAATTGATTTAATGAAATTTATATGAATCAGTGCTAAATTATTGTTAGTTTCATTGCAGATGCTATCGATGGGTATGGGAAGATGTGCATATATTGTATAGTTCGTTACAAGAATTGCTGTTGATTTCCTGCGATTTGTCATAAAGTTTCTTATTGCTATCCTTCAGTCATCCATATTTTCCTACACTGTCTTGCAGATTTTTTTCTTCCTTCAATTTCGGGTTATCAGCAACTGTAGAGCTAAATAAATTAACGCAATAAAGAGCACACAAAATGGATTGTGATGCCGAATTTAATGCATTAGTTTCCATGTATCAAAGTGTTGTACATGATATGAAGGTATGTTTCCATTTTTTTCTCAACATTTTTACCTTTTTATTTTGGACTTTAGGACGAGAAATAGATATATAAAATTTGTCTTCTAAATGTGAGGAACGAAGATGGGTTATGTGTTGTATGGCCAAAATGAAAATTTATAAATTTTGTTCAGTAAGAATACTCATGATTATATTGAAGTTACAAATGATTTTTTGGTCATCCGTTCAATTTTTTTTTAGTTAACTTATCCAGCATGGGAAAATGTCGCTCAAAAAGCCCTCAAACTTGCGTCACAAATGAAATCGACGTTAATTTGTATGAATGCTTTCATTGATGCTATACAAACTGTTGGTGATGTTGCCAATAATTTAAAAGGTATTTTAAACTGTTTTTGCTTTCATGCAACTTTTCGCTTGCATCTTTCATTGTTTTAAATATTGAAAGAACTCAAATTGATACTCCATTCTGTAACTTGGATAACTCAAATAGATGCCATGTTTAAAACCCAAACCGATGTACCATCTTATCTGACAATACTTATTCTGATTTGAAACTTCAGTCGCGAAAATGAAATTCTTCGAGAAGGAAGAGACGCTTGGAAAATAGTCTACTGCGTTTTTCTGAGTCATTAAAGAAGAAAAAATTTTTGGTTTTCGAACCAATTTCTTGAAGATTAGATAAAAGCTGTGGTTTAATCAATTTTTTTTTCATATGAGAGTCTTCCAAGTAATCGATTTGTGGTATCTCTACTACTAAGCATGCAACTGAACCACTGCTTTTTACCATTATAGTTTTGTAGTCACTTGTTTTACCTTATTGTCCATTTTATCTTTTATTCCATTAGCTTATAATATAAACTTATTCGTAATAGTAATATTATACATCTCGCTTATTATTTTTATTTTTGAGCATTTCGCTTGAAAATATTTGCCTATGTTTTTGTAAATTTCCATTTAGTTTAGAGACTTATTACTTTGGTTTATCTTCAGATGCACAGCATTGAATGATTTGTGCAGTACAAACTTAGTGATTTGAGTGGTGAAGATTAAGCGATCTCAAAGAAGTTGGAGATATGTTTTTAGGTGCCACTCGCGATATTGGTGCATGTCTTACACGTGTTTGCATGCGACAGCGATCTATCGAAAATCGTCTGCGTAGTTTTGTGGACTCGCTAACCGATGAATTAGCCATAACCTTGCAAAAGAAGGGTACTCATTGGAAACAACGAACCATGGAAATGGATCGACATGCGAACAAATTTTATCGAAAGGTGAATTGTAAGGTACATTGTGGATATCACTTCTTGCCGTTAATTCATATTTATTTTATTGAGCAAAGAGAGGTCAGGTCTCAAACTGTCTCGGGGTTTCGAATTAAATTGTTCAAAACTGATTCGTCTGCGTTTTTTGACTGATTAATGAGTAGACTGATTTAACTTCTCCTTGTTTGTTTATTCACTCTAAATCCTGAAAACTAATGTCTCAAAAAATGCTAAAATTTCCACTGGCGTTTTTTTCAATGAGGGAGTTCAAATTTGCATTTTCTGAAGGTAGGAGTCGAAACTTCCTGTGAGTAAGTTGAATGACATAGTGAGAGGACACTAAAATTTATGACTATGGTAACTTTTGCTAAGATACTTTCTGGGCCGTTGATAATTATTTTTCTTCAAAGTAAGTTATTAGTTCTACGGTTTTTAAAAAACAGTTAATTGACAGAATATGTTCTTTAATGCTAATTTTTGTGAAGCTGCTGCACAGAAATCATAGCTTCAACTGGCCGTTACTATTTATTTATGAGTAATTAATGGGTATCTTTTTTTGGAAATGAATAATATATATTTTGTTTTCTTGTAGATCCGTTCACGTAAAGGTGGCATAGATTTAAGCACCGTGAATGAGCAACGTCGTATCTCTCAGGCCTTGCTAACGGAACAGCGGAATCAAATGTCATTTTTCGTCTCGGCTTTGCTCCCTGTTCTCGTAAGTACTTTGCCAAAACATTCTTGATCTCATCTCCTTATCATCCAAATCATGTTTGTTTTCCAGTTATTTGGTATCTTCATATGAAATGAATTAATTGATCTCATCGGCATGTTATTCTTTTCTTATTATTTTGTGTATAGTTTCTTTCTAAAAACTTAGGAGCTTTCTTGTACTGATAAATGCTTGGGCGAGGTGCCTTTTAAAGAAAATTCTACAAGTGTAGAAATTTGTTTTTATTGATTTTTCTGCGGTGTTAGTCTTTTAAAATTCGATGCTATTGATAACAGTTATAAATTTTTAGATTATAAAATTTTTTTCATTTCAGAACAGTCAGTTGGGTCTTTTAGATGAAAGCGGTCATCTTCGGCAAGTAGCAGATCATTTACATGTTACGGTTCGATCTAGCAAGTCGACAGCAATCATTGATACTATTTTAAATGATATACATGAAGGATCAGATAATTCGTGGCGTAGCTGTTTGTCCAATAATGCCAGTCGATCCTTCTGCATCTATAATGGCGATGACATCTCAATTAGAGCACCTTCGCCAACACCCAGTACCTGTACATGGCCAACAGCTGTAGTCGGTAAAGTTTTAAGATCTAAAATTAGAAAAGCATTAACAGTGTTGTTGCTGTGTTGCTGAACAAATTTATTTGATTTAGTCACCGTTTCAGTTATTACTTCCTATCTTGTGGTTTCAATGAAATACAGATTCTTTAACTTATATTTAAAGATCCGAATGTATATAATATTGCGTAGTGGAGTTGTTGCTGCGAATCATTTCAATTTTTTTAAACACCTGTGAGATAGATCTCAACAGTACGGTTTGAAATTTCGAAAATTTTAGAAATTATGAATCAAGATCTCGGTTGCAGGTAATTCCATATATAATTTCAGGTTTTGCATCCAATGCGGATTCATCATCAATACGGGCCCATACAATATCGGTAGTAGAACAGCCACGGCGTACGATGCTTAATTCCCAAACCTATGCGCCTCCATCTCCATCACAACCTTTCGAATTTGCTTTAAAAAAACCACCTTTACCCAAAAGAATCATTTCCTCCTCCAACTCCATTATTTCTGCTGTTCCAGATTTTCATGGATCGTCTATTGGAATTGACAAGGTAATATAAATTCTTATAATCACACATGATTATATCTATACGTTTTGCTCTTGAAAAATCCACTTCTATGATTGATTGCACGATTATTGAAAGTGCTGATTGTAAGTTATATCAAAACATGGTTTCACAGATTAATACTAAAATCAGATAATGTATGGCTGCTTTTCAATTCTTATTCTATAGTGTGTTATGTTAAAAATTTATGTTTATTTATGCCTCCAATGCTTCTGTTCCGTAGAGCTTATTTTTATCAATAAAATGGACAAATCGAATTTGCATAATTTGATAACCTTTTTCAGACCCTTCATCACAAAGGAACTCTGCTGTCATCTTTATCGGCGGATGTATCAGAAGAGTCAATTTTAAGGCAACCAGCTAGGCCATTAAGTTTTGCATATGAAGATGTAACAGCACATCCAAACGGGACATCTACTCTAACTCGTAATGGTCATGTTAATAATGGCTCTTGTACAAAAAGCGATGGTTAATTTTTACTTCTGTTTGACTGAAAATTCAGTTTTTAATGTAAAAATCAATTCATAAAACAATGAGATCTTTGCTATTGATCTTTGCAGTGGCAAGATTCAGAATTGATCAAGTGGAATTAGAGATCATCTTACGAATTCCAATATTTTAATGAAATCTGTTTTGCTAAGGTCGTACTTTGTAATCATGAATTTAAAATATTTCCATCCTGAGGTCGTTTAAAGTGTATGAAGATGTTAGTGAAATAAGATAAGGCATCATTTAAATAATGAAAAAAATCTTACCACTGTAATATTCTTCCCTTATTTAAATGGTGGCCTATATAATCGCGAACAGTGTTTCTTTTGCTTTTCCAGATAAAGTAAAAGCGAATGCGTCACTGATTGCTGAAACTATTGAGCAGATCGATAAACTTGGTTCGGAACTTGATTCCTACTGTAACGCAACGCCTGTACCTGTAGCACAGCAAACGATTCACATTCGTTCGGGTAATTTTTATTATTTACAATAAAATCTATATCTATCTATATATTTTTTTAATTTTGTCATTATCTAAATATGTACGATTATTTTGGATAAAGTTAATTTTAGGTAGCTGTAAGCCTCCACCACCTCCAGAACGTCGTAATTCAACAATCACTGCGGCAACACCAACAGCTCCATCAGTGGCCGAGATACGAGCAGCTGGTGGCACCGCAGGTTCATCTGATTATGCATCATCAATTGCTTCATCTGGTGAATTTGGTCGCGACCAGTTTTCAATGCGATACATTTAAATGGTGGATTATTGTTATAATGCCATACATGACAACTTTTGCATTTCGTGAAAAGTGCATCTTAATTTTTTTCACCTTTTCGAAAAGGTATCTGGAAAGCAAAGAATTTAAATATCAGAAGAGAAAAAAGAAAGAAAAGCTCTAAAGTAACCAAAATGACAGAGTTTTTTGAGTGGGAGTATTTCCCGAAAGTTGTAAAAAAGATCTGTAAAAGATTCTGGAAAACATACTGTTCCACACTGTTGTAAAAATAATTGAGCTATTGTTTCTCGTATGTTATAAAAAAAGATCTGTCCTAAAAATATAGCTGAATTCTAATCACAAATTTACGGTCCTTTTGCCGTATTTTCATGAATATTACATCGTTGAGCAGCACATAGAGAAGGCGCAGTGAAATGAAACATTTGGTTTGATAAAATTTCATTTTGCGGCGAAAAGAGAAACACAGTTAAACTGTCACCATAAAACGTCTTTGATTGCTGGATTGGCATTTTTATGATAAAACGAAATATAGAGCTTTGCATAAATTAAAAATAAAGTGACGCCATTTAGCTAATGATTGATTTTACGGGATCTTCCAAAACTCTTCACTAGTATTTGGAATTCTTCATCTACTCTTCAGTGCCCATCGTGTTTGTTTAATAACTTCCCAGATTGTTCATTCATTTTCTCCTATGCTGTACTATTTTATTTCACGGGAAAAGATGTGTCTCAATAGTTTTGCTTTTCAAGGTTTGCTTATTTTTAGGTTATGGGTTATTTCTTGTGATGTATCTGTACATTCACAGGATTATTCCATTTTTGTTACCTCTTTGTCATATATTTTTTTCGGTTTGTTTTTGTACAGTGGATATGCGTGTTATGAGATGTATTTCTTTTTCTTTTCTATACCTATCTTCGTTTTATTGTTGACGGTACACCGCACATGAACGAGTTAATTAGCATCGTAATTTGGGGCTATTTGATACTAATGATTGCATTATCTAGGGTTCCTCGTAATCCTTCTTTAAAGCTCAGTAATATAAGGACTAGACTATGTGAAATACCGACATCGAATACCATAGTCACATACTTAGCACAGATCAAATACTTCGGAGAAGGAACAGAAAAAGTGTAGAGGATTCGATAAACTTAAGAATGCAAACAGTCATAGAAACCGAAACCTTTTATATCACTGCTCTTTGAAATTGATATCTATAAATACTAATAAAATTAGAACCGATAAGTTCTAACTAAGAATTAACGTCAGCGGATGAACAGTTAAATGTATGAAAAAGCAATTCTTTCCAAAGCATGCTTTCAAATGTTAGTAAAATTTATTTCATACTCTCAATAAAAACTTCGCGTTTTCAGTAGTGGGATTTGCTTCAGTTTCCGAACTTGACATTGCGATTAATTTTTACATTCCCGGTCACTCTTTTGAGGGGGAAGTCCGAAAATAGCCAAAATTCAAACGAAGTTGTTCCAGGAAAATGAAAGTAAGAATCGTTTGTGGCGCCAATCGAACCCATGCTGGTATAAAACCCTGTAACACACTCTCATATTGAGTTATCCAATCTTTACAAATTTCAAAAATAATGACGGACCTTGAAGAATAAGATGAATGGTTTACCTTGAAAAAACCAGCTGGTCCAAGTTTCGCAGTATATAAGAAGCAAGACAAGATACTCTGCAAAATATACATCACTCAATATTCATTTTAAATTTAGTATTATCGAGCTTGAGAGGATTTCGATGTTATGATCATCAATTGGTTTAAAGCTGTGCACACGTACAAGGAAGTCAGATCTCTCCGCCTACTCTATACACAGTGGATTAGGATCTGCGATGTAAGCCTGAACACCAATTAGTGAAAAATTTACGTCGAACTGGCCCGGCTTTGCGTTCATCATACGTGTCTTCATAACATCCAGTGGCTGAGTTAAAACTGTCGCAATCGACGCCTTAAACAAAAACTACTGGTATTTGTTGCGAACGGAACTATATGAAGGAATAAAAAAATGATGAGTGATTTAAAAACTATAAGAAACAAGCACCGCAGCAAATGAAGATCCGAAGTGAGTTGTTGGAGTATCCTTGAAGTAACCCGATGCAATAGCGATTTGTTTGATTTGGTCATAAAACGACAACTGACCAATGGTCATGAATACAGCTCTAAGTGTTGCCACTGCAGCTCCATTAAAAAGTTTAGTGACGCCTTCTTCACGCATCACTCGAAATAGCCCATCGAATGCATGCTTATAATTTCGCCGTTCTGCTAACGGTAACTAAACTTTGAAACAATATCTGGCTCACCAATTAACGCTATTACATCTTGATCTTACAACTTGGAACTGCTTTAATATGTTATGTTCAATATTAGATCAGACTCCTTAACACTAACACCAAGTTTTTTACATTTCCATTTTAGAATAAAATCACGTGCGTATTAAAAATAATACGCAGGTATTTGTAAGAACTGATCAAGATGTGGAGTGGAATTGAACGGAAGAAAGTTCATAGATGAAATAAAAATGTTTTACTGTTACTGAAGTACGTCAATATTTATCATTAATAAATTAAAGCTTGTTTGCACTTTCATTTCCGCCTCTTCCCCTAAATTAATCTTTTGGGTTTGAAAATTTTCACATATTTAGAATTTGTACTAGAGATAAAAGATTAGATAGCATTCTAATGCACCTAAAAAAATGAACGATATACACCTTCATATCATTTTGCATGCGCACGTTAATCATATCTCCAGGGGTACCAATAAAACCTCCGCATGCTCCACTTATCCCTGCCAGTGCAGCTTTCTGGTAGAGAGGAATGGTATTTGAATCTACAATAAGTCTGAATCATGCATATAAAACATCATTGCATCCCACAAATTTTTTCCTGATACTACACTAAGAATAACTGAAAATATTTGATATGATTTCACCAACATAATACAATTATAAATCACTCAGCCATTTTAAGAAGTATGAAGTAGTTAGTGTAGCGTAGTTGGTTTGGTTATTCAGGTCATACTTTTCTGTAATCCTGGAGAAATTCCGAGATACATTAAGATATCTTTTTACATATCACATCAGAATAATTTTCACATTTAGAGTAACACGTTTCCCAGTAGCGACACAGATATGATAACATAAGGGTCCGCTGCTAAACAATTTTGTTCAAATTTGTTCTTTAAACTTACTCTATATTTCTAACTAGTATTGGAAATACATCAAAAGCCGATAAGAATAAACAAACAAACCTCCCGGAAACTGCTTCTTCAACTGTTCATACATACCAAAACGTGTCAAAGAATATGTCATCTGAAAAACGTGAAAAATGAAAATCTATTCAGAGCACTCATTCACAATTGTAATCTCAACTCTATCACTAAGATACAATTATTGAAACACACAATGTCTCTAACGAAGCCATACTGTTTTCAAATAATTTTTGGAAAATTCTTAGTGGTCTCCTTGTCCACGCAAATTTTCAAAAATCACATAATTATGATGACCATTAGTCGTACTTTATGTGTGGCATCACATGGTCACCTAATATTTAAAACATCAAAACAAAAAGCTAACTTTTTTGACACAAATAAAAAATATTTTATATCTTACCTGTCTTAATAAAGAAGCTGAAATACCGTTGTAGAGACCTCGAATGCCATCACTTCGAATAATTTTCATTGTAATTTCAAAAATACCAATCCGACCATGTTGCTGAGTTTGCAGATGTACCTAAAAGAACATCTCTTGAATGATGATACTATGAATGAGTGATGATGACATCACCTATAGTATCATCATTCAAGATGACTAAACTAACCTTAAGTAAATCAAGTGGATGTGTACACATTGCCGCACCAGCAGATGCTACACCACCAAAGTACCATCGACTGAGACGTTGTTTCGTTGAATGAATTGACATTATTCTTATTAACTGTAATATTCATCGAAATACATCAATCTTAAATGAAATGATAAAACCGATTAATAATGCTCATTTCAACCAACATCTCTTGAATGATGATACTAAAGTGGATATGACAAGTTGTTTGATCTCTCAGAGTTTTCTCTTCCTAATTGACCAACACACTGACCTCTGTCTTAGCCACCAAAGTTAACACTTTAATTGTTTTTAGAAAGATCGAAAGAGTAAATAAAGAATGAGTATGAATGAGCCTCTTTTTACCATTCTGTGTCTGTGTACCATGTTGATTCCGTACCATGTTGATTCTGTACCATTAGAGGTAGCGCACGGCGCTCATGCAGCCTTTCGGCAAATGACTTTTCGATAAGCAGTTGGCGCTTTACGGCTTTTCATCCCTTCCATGTTTTCCTCTTCACTTACTAGTTGCATACCTGCATATATACTTAGCTATCTCTTAGATTCTCTACCACTTCTATTTGTGTCATTGTCACTGGGAGAATTTTCTGCGGGAGAAGTCGTATTTACGCCTGTATACCTCTTACATTCTGTTCGGTTTAATTATTTAAATCAAAACTTTCAAAACAAATTAAAAGCGTACGCACTTTTGAAATGCAAAATTTTATGCTTACAAAAAATATAATACAAATAAATGTGTAGGAGTTATTATTTGACTTGTCTGCTATCATTTCATACATATCTCTTATGCTTTATCTCGCCTTCTCAATCTTCAGTTTCAACCCGCTCTAAGTTATTGCCTACCGTGTTATTCTCAGAAACACTCCTCTGTAATTTGCATATGAATTTCAGAAGAGAGATGATTAACTTAATTAATTAAGAAAGAGAGGGAGAGGGAGAGGGAGAGACTGTCGATACAATTTCAATAATTTGCTGGAAGATTTCTTGGATCATTAACACAGGTTTATTAATTATTCAACTGACCGACATACTTTGCTGTCTTCAATATATTGATGGATGATTGTTCCATACTGAATGTTCAGCAAACCAACCACCTGCGACATCATTACTTCTTGTTTGTCTAAAAATATATCACATATATTTCATTAATCTGTCATATACTACTGTTAACGTTAACTGCTATATCAGTTACCATCAATAACAAAAAATTTAAAAGTAAATTGAGTGGAATTCTAAATATTCAGTTATCGTTCTTCTCGTCTTCTATGCAATAATATGGTGAGATTCTGTGTTATACATTAATTTACAAAGATTAGTTTAGATTTTTAAATTTAGCATCTACCTGTACTTTATAGATTTCAAAAAATGATTGCACGTTTCCATTTTTAAATACATTCAAGAAGCGGTCAACAATTGAGTCATTTGTACTGCGCGGTTATTTCAATTGTTGTCGGTAACTGTGCCATTCAACAGTGTTTTCCAGACGTCAGATATGTATGTCAGTTTTATTTGCCTATTTCTTCCTCCGTCCTTGCATGAAAATGTAGCAATAAAATCCTCAGTAACAAACTAATTCTGAGATGTGTGTGTGTGTGTGTGTGTGTGTGTGTGTGTGTGTGTCTATCTGTCTGTTTATCTATCAAACATTCGTATTCATGTGTGTGCAACCCATTTATGGTCATTGACGTGGAACTCCAGTCAACAATCAGTCCCTGCATTGTGGGTGCATTCATATTTCGCTGGTTTGCATGAAAATTCAGTCATTAAATTAATATTTAATTTTCAAATAATCTAACGAAGGATCCTTATTTCGAAAATTGTCATTTAATCATTTTACATAAATAATATCAATAGTGTTTGCTATCATATGATAATACCGACAGTTAGGAAACTGTAATTTAAATAAATTTAAATAAATCGATATTATTTCAGGCTACGAAATAGAAATGTTGCATTGAATGTCAAAAAAGTGTTGTAAACATTCAACTCCAAATGACATCTGTAACTGATCAAGAACGAATCTTCAAAGGAATACGAAGCGAATTCAATTTTTTCTTAAAGCGACATATTTATCTGGAAGTAAATCAGTGATTCTGATTATCGTTTGATGTTATATTTCATTCTCACTATACTTTAGAGTATGATTTCGTGTTTACTTCATCAAAGAAACTATTAATAGGTCAAATCAAATGCATATTTCAGTTTGAAAACAAAACATCCGAATATTCGCTAAAAACTGTCCTGGACTTCCTCAGACTGGCTAACATTGTCTTTTAACACACTATTTCACTTAAATTCTTGTTGCACTGTCGCTACCTATCTGAAGTGGCACAAATTAGTTTCGATAAGTCTTTTTAGGAACGTTTATGTATCTCTTCGTAGCTATACAGTGAATAAGGGACGGTTCAGAATAATTAAGAGAAATCCATGTTTAATAAATATTTAGGCCAATATTAGTATTAAAAATTTATTATTTATAGTTTTAATGATTTTAGAAATATGAGTAATGCTGGACATCGAGCACAGAAGGCAGTACTGATTGGTTCTTTGATTCTACTCCTTATTGCTTTGATTATTTCCATCATTGCCGTTCTCTCGCCTTCATGGCAAGTCGTTGATATACGCGAATTTCGTGCACAACATCATGTAAACACCTTTTTTACTTTATTTATCTCCGCTTCTTCTCTCCTTTTTTATTTCTTTACTGTCAACTGATATGGATGTGTTTCCTTCATTAATAATACAGATATATTTGCAGCATGGCTTATGGCAAGATTGTACTCGTCCACATTATCATTCACATGGAGTAAGTAGTGAAGAATATGGGGAAATGCAACATTCTTCTCTTTTCTGCACATATAAATTTGATCACAGTGCTCGAGAGATCATTGATGAAAATTTACTGGATATGAATCAAAATAGTGCTGCTGGTGAAGCCGAACATCATCACTTCTTTGGTATTATCGTTTATTACATAATCTATAATGAGGTATTGAACACTTCAATATTATTGAATAACTTTATACTTATAATGCTATAGGTTGGCAAAAGGCTGTGTTAATATGTTTTGCGGTGGTCTTTGCAATCAGTGGACTGGCGCTTTTCTGTGGCATTTGTGCACCATGTAGTAATCCTATTGCCGTTTTCTTCACTATTCTTATCTTTGTCGCATGTTCGTTATTTTACTGTTTTTTATTTAGTTCTCTAATCATTTAGTAGGATCGAGGAATTTTGAATTTTGAACATGTCGTTATATGGAAGGACCGTGTAGAACATAATACATGTTCAAAATTATATCACAGTTAAAGAACACCAAAATCGAATATTTGGATTATTCTGTCTCTTTTGGGTATCATTGAATCATAAATGATTTACCTATTATTGCAGTATTTTTTTCGGTCGTTGCAAATGCGATATTTTTCTTTGCTGCACATCGAGTTGATAGTCGATTTGTACATGGACTTGTTGGCACTTACGAGGTCAGTTGCTATTACTCTACTTTAGTTTAGGATTAAATTGTTGAAGAGATTCATTAGCTGTGTTATTTTAATTCAAAATTCAGATGTACACTGTAGTTCATTTTTTCTATTTACTGATAAAATCACAGTTTAAACTTTTATCGTCTCGAATTCAAATTCTGCAGGACAGGAAATTTCAGAATGATTTTAATTTTCAGCAAGAAGTTGGTTCTGCTTTCTATTTATCATTAGCATCTACATCTTTGCTGTTGTTTTCATTCCTCATGGCATTGGTATCAACGTACTACTTAATTCAAGATACAAACAAACCTCATGATGCATTTATTTCACCAGTGATGCGCGAATTGGTACCATTATACCACTCTACTAGGCACACTGCCATTTAATTTTGTTGTTTTATTTCGTTATTTGGATTTTGTTATAATTGACGGTACCGCTTATTGACTTTATTTTGAATTTGAAGCATTAATTGTTTAATAAATAAATCAAGTGAAGTTAAAACTGACTTTATGAGATGGATCTTGTGTCTATCTGACGTGCAACGCCAAAAAGGAATATTTTTGAATAAACCTTTGGTGACTCTACGTGATGAATTGTGATATTTAGCTCTTAGTATTGTTACATTGCTCAGAGACGAAATTTCTACTTTTTTTAAATCGAAAATTCCCAACACTTTTATTATCTGAAATTTTTTTACAATATAATTAATATAACTCTGAAGTTTCTGCCAAAATGATGTTTGTCAGGTCTATCAATAATATCATGTTTTGTGCTTGTTTTTTTCTTTACAAATTTTAATCATGGAATGCTAGTGACAATAACTACAAAAAATTTTGAACTATAAATTAATAAGATTGGACTGTTAATTAATTCTTCAAAGTTCAACAAGTATCTACCAACTTAATTGAAGAATCAGCAAAGATCAAAATAATTCTATTTTCGATATATTGATATTAAATTGAACAATTGAAAACAAAAATTATTTAATTTTTACTTCAAAAAACAACGCATTGTAATAATTATTGTTGACATCATGGTTAAATCAGAAGGTCATCATAACCATTTTTATTTAATAATATCAGTCATTTTACTCTTAACTATTCTACAGAAGGTCCATCTTCTCATCATTTCTTTTTTTTTTCAAAAAAGCTCAAGCCATTGTTCTACGACAAGCGACGTGAAGTTTTTTATTTGATAGTAACCTTCTGAAGTAGTTTATCATTATTCAAAAGATAAAAGAACAATAATGATCTTAATGACCATAAATATATTCCATGTTTTCCAGTTATAGAATGAAATTGCTGTCATTCTTTCGTTGTTGCCGGTTTCGTTTTCTTTTTTAATCCAGCTAATTCATTAATATTTGGCGCTTTCACATCAATTGACTCAGGATTATGTTCATTGAATAGACGTAAAGCTTCTAAACCAGCACGTTTTGCAGCCATTTCATGAAGTTGCTCAAGTGATGTGTCTTGACGACAACGACCTCTAACGCTAAAATTTAATTTAAGTGTGGATATTTGTTCTCTTATTAACATTACATTTTATCTTTAATTTCAAAAATGAAATTATAAACTGATAATTAATTTTAAAAAGATTGGAATATACTTGGAGAAATGTTCATAAGGATTTTCTTTCGGAAGTGCTACATTGCAAACATAACAGAAGAAAGTACCACAAGGACATGTCATTTTATTGCATCCTGTTTCTTTCGTAATTCTGCAAGAAATTAAAGTAGTAGTCATCAAAGATAGGAGAAATACTCAATGTCGTATTTAGTGACATTTTATTCAAAATTGGCTCAAGATTTTAATTGATAAGCCTTAAAATAATTCGCTTTTAAATCTTTTGTTCTTATATTTCTCGAAATATATTAAATGGCATCACTGCAAAAAATAAATAACAGATTGTGAGATTCTACAATTTCATACAGAACTTACTTCTTATCACAGGTTGGACATTTGCGAATTACTGCTTCTGACATGCGCTCCTCAATAAATTTACGTTTTTTGGTCTCAAAATCAACGTCTTCTTGAACTTCTTCACATCGCAACGGAATGTGTGATTCTTTTTGACATTTCCTGAAAGTTTTTGAAAAAGAAAGAAAAAAGCGAGATCTAATTAATTGTAGGAGTAAAACTTTATAAGATATACCTGCACGATTCTTTCTGGCAAACAGCATTCAAGCAGACAAGTGTTCGATCTTCACTATTTCCAAAACTTGCCGGGAAATCACAAAATGGACAAAATTCAATATTTCCAATGTTTGAGGTAAGAATTTCATCCTAAAAGATGTTCGAGAAGTTTACAATTTTCAAAATGATTGCTTCCACAACATTTGCGTCGTTTCTTATTATTCGAAGTTTGATAATTTTATCTGTTAAAAACTTTTCCTCGTTTATTTTAGCTCACTCAATGAAATTCCGATGAATCTAAATAATAAGATAAAAGATGATAAATAATGCTGTAACTTTGAAACCAAAATCATATATCAAAATTATTGTACATCTGCGGAAAAATGACAACAAAATAAATTTAAGAATGAATAATAGATTAGGGATAGTTAGTCAGCAAGAAAAGCTAGGCCAACACATAGCAACTTCTAAACAATTATTGAAACTTAATGTTCCTAATAAATGTAAAACATTACTCTTAAACAATGTAGAATAAATAAGCGAAATAAGGCTGGTGAGATAATATTCTGAATAGATGACGTTTCAAAGTGACCATCTGTACACGATGGATCCATGCAAGAAATTCTGTTCATACCTAAATTCTATTTTTAAATTCTTTTTTTTTTTTTATTAAAATGTTACCATAATAAAATACTACCATATTTAAATGTTATCATAACAGATATATATCGTCTTGTTTTGCATAACAATGTCATTTTAAAAAATTCCACTTTATCTTACAGCAACATTAATGGCATTCATATAAAACTGAATCTAAAAGGATTGATTTTTGAAAAATAAAAATGAAAATATGATGGATTCAAATGACAAGGAATGATCGATCTTTTTCTCTCTTTCCCTCTCTCTCTCTCTCTCTCTAAGTGTTTTCCGTTCCATAATCAAAAATTGTAACGAACCATCGCCGATCTGAGCTTCCGTATGTTGTTTTACACAATTCTTACAAAATTCATGATCTCCCTTGCTACATTTCACCATATCTTCTTCCAAATGACAATCCTCACAGCAAATGATACATTCTTTTAGTAAGCTATTCCGTTCTGCATGTTCTAATGCTTCTTTCCGTTTTGCAGCGCAATTTACTTTGTAGTCTGTAATATGCGTGCAAATGTAAAGCCAAAATCAAAGATAATCTTGATATGATGGATTTAGTCAAAACACTAACTAAAGCAGCACAGAATTCAGTTAAGATTCAAATCATAAAAGAAACAAGCCAAAGCGGAAATTTGGATATTTGAATCTTCCGGAAGAACAAAGCTAATTTAATATTTTCCTTCAAATGGGAATTTCGTAAATGAATGAAATTATAATACATATAATGCAAAGAATTCATGTTTCACAGAATAGAAATAATTCAAATACTCTTCAGAATTCAAATTTAAAAAGAAAAAGAACCAAGTAATAACTTAATATTTCCTCTTCATACAAGCAAAATTGCGCTTCTCGAAAAAATAATTCATCTAACGAATCCGGATAATCTGGTATTTTTCCACTATCAGATAATCGTCTGAATTTCACTTTAACATGAGCGTTCGTAACAAAATGAGGAGCGTTTTTACCTGAAATTTGGTATTATAAAGTATTTGAAATTGAAAATTTACAACAATAAGAGTTTTTAATTCTAAAAAACTTAAAATTGCCTTCAAATAGAGTGCACCAATACGAGAATGTTATTGATTTTTCGTTGGATTGTTTACAGTAATCTCGTTATTACGCGTATTCATTTATTCAAGAAGAGAAATTATAATCTTCAGAACATTCTGCAATATGTTCCTCTGAGAAAAATGTTATTATTGAGAGAAAAATACTGTAGTTTAGGCCTGACATGTTGAGAAGTGGCGTACGTTTGACATTCAAGAAGTCACGGATGTACGTAGTATCAGCTGTCAGCTAGCTGCATAGATTGTACAGTTGAAAATTTCGGACAAAAATGAATTTGACAGAAAAAAGAATCATTTTAACCAAATATTTATGAAAATGATATTTTTGTGTCTTGTGCAAATTGGAAGTCAACTCTGACAGTCAAACTTCGAGGCTCTTATTAGGCTCTTATTAAAATAAACTTAACCTCAGTAACTAACTTAAAACTTAATGCACCTGATTTCTAAATTCAAAATGTATTATGTTTGAAGAATTAGTATTATGTTCGGACCAGATGGTTGAAAAAATCTCTGTCGCAATGGAATAAAAGGGCTATCAAAGGTCAATAGTGTTTAATCATCTCTGACGGAGAAAGTATGAGTGCAAAAAGAGAGAAACAAATAAATATTTGTAAAAACGTGAGCTGAATTTTGAATAAGAAATGGATTCAGTATCTAATAAAAGTAAAATCAAACTTTTTGCGAATGCTTCAGCATGTTTCTTCAAGATTCTATAAGCTGGCAATAGCTGTTTATTGCTGTTAATAAATAGTTTTCTTATAAATTTCACATCATATTGTTCAAATTTTCGCGACAAAAAAGCCTAAAAAGTTCAATGAAAATGCCTAATTTCATAAATGAATTAAGAAGCATTGTATTGTTTCATAAAATACAAATGTTCTGGTTTAAAATATAAGAAAGAAAAGAGAAACTATCGAAAATTTCATTTCAAAACGATAATATAAGAGAGAACTGAGAATATGAATGACCTCATTCAAAAAAAAATGAACTTTTCTACAGCATACAATAAATGTTATCATTTAAAATTCACATAATCACACTAATTACTTAATTAAAGAGAAGGTTTTTAATTAGTAAAAAAACCCAAAAGTTTAGCAAACCGTACCATAGCATGCTTCATATAAATTTCATCCGTTTTACGCTTTTCCTCAAAAAATATTTCTGGATTTGGATATATTGCAAGAAATTGAACAAAATCAAATGTTTGTCCATCTTCACAAAGAAAAGCTTTACGACGCAATTCCATACATTCACGACGTACACGTTGTTTAATTGTGGGATAGCCATATCCGAAAAGATCTAAATATCATCAATTTTTACCGATAATATCGCCATTGAGATCCCATTCCATGTGCCATTAGTTAGTTTAGTAAATACGATGAATGGTTACACACCTTATATATTTGACTGAAATCTTCATAGCATCATTTTTTAATCTGTTGATAATGTCCCAGATTCAAATGTAATAGATCAAATATTAAGATATTGTTAGGTCTATGATTAAACAACACTGAAAAAGCACTCAAAACTAACGCTCAACAATGGTTTCTACGCTGCTCATAGATTTGTTTGTGATTAAATTGTAGACGTATGATGGATCTACCGTTGGTACCACCTGAAAGTTGGGAAATTCTAAATTAAGAAAATATGATACTCTCGAAATTTTGTTCCATATTTTCAAAAACCTAACGTGACAAGCAGTATAAAGGACTTTTCGCTCCTCTATTGTCAAATAATCAATTTGTTCATTTTTAATCATCATCAACTGTCGCATATTCAATAGTTTCGCGCATTCATCGAATGAAGTTGCAGTACGTTTGCGTATACCGCTAGGCCCTGGCTGCGATTCCAATTCACCAGTTTCCCAAGTAGCCACTTAAGTTGCTAATAAATATTAAAAGGACAATAACACAATACCTTCAAATTTAAACTGTGCTTGACAATTCAAATCAAAATTATTTTCTATCAGATTATGGGCAGCGATATTGCTGATGGAAAGGCTATAAGATCATTTGAATAATTATTTAATTTAGCTGTATAAGTGTAACTCTTAAAGATTTATCTAACTTTCTCATTAAAAAATAATTAACGAAATTTACCTGATTTGAAATCAAATTTCTTAGCCATTTAGCCTTCAAATTGTGCTTTCATATAAGTGAAAATCTTTTTAAATCGCCACCAGAAGAAAGCTAAAAGAAATTTGCGTAATATATTAATATATAGACAAGCAAACAATATAACTTTAAAAGAAAAAAGTTAGAAAGTTTGTTACCTATTTTCAAGAGGAAAATATTCTTCAAATTTATGACCGATAATAAATTCCACGAATTATCTATCAGATCATTTCAGTTAGATCAGCGCTTATCACTCATTAAGTTTTCAATAAGTTTCATCTAATTTTCATTAGATATTAGAAAATACTGATAATAAAATGATAAAATATGTATTCGATTCATTCGATCTTTTCATATCACTCTTACAATGAAAAATAATTGAAACTTTTTGAGGATTCTTATGTCATAAATACTGATAATTTAACTCTTCCATTGATACCAAAATACTAATTTGAACTTGGTAATACTATCGCCATTTATAATTTAACAATTTTTCTTTTTCCTTGAACCAATCTCATTTCTCTTATTGGTACGCTGGAAGTTCGATTAAGTCATATCCGAAATATATCGATAATAATTTTCCCAGTGCACTGCTCAGTTTCATAATGTTTTATATTCAACTTACTTAATTTTTCTCCAGACATATCAGAATTTAAGATGATTAGTTTCTTTAATGTAACCAACCTATCATCTTTTGCAACTCTTCCTATAGCACCATCAATAAATTCATCTTTGTAAACTCTATCTTCATCCACTTTCTTACTATTTAAATCAAAAAATAATTGAAACAGAACGCGGTAAAACTTACTGTAATTTTCAGTTTAAACCTATTACTGAATTTGATTGCTATGATAATAACATTATAAAAGGGTGAACGAAAAGAGAAGAGAATCTTTTCTGTTAATAGACTTCAGTAGAGAAATGTAGCATGAAAAAGCGGCAATAACCTGGTAGAACATTAGTATTTGGCGGTGAAAAATTGAAGGTCAAAATATTAAAAGATTAAAAAACTTTACCAACTGATACATGTGTATCATTAACACGTAGGTGAACTGTGAAAACCGATTGGAAAATTGGAAATTTGTGATCAGTTAATGAAGAAGGAAATGAATGCAATCATCTTACATTTTATTAAAATATATATGCAAATTTGGGATGACATTTCCTTTTCTTTAAATGTACGATCAGTTTGCTTAAATTGCTTTAAACATGAACCCATTCCGAATATGCAAATTATGAATGTTTGCTTGTAGTTCTGTAAAGAAATGATTTAGAGAATTGATTCCGTTGAGCGCTTTCTTGAGTTTTTCAAACAATTTGCGAACAGGTTGTGTAATGCGTTTATGGATTATTATCTTCAAATAAACTTTATTTAGTGGATAGTATAGAAAAAGGATTTAACTTAAATTAAGACTTCAAAGAATGTTATCGAAATTGAATAATCATCTGTGTCTATTTTATTTACATAATTTAGCTAAATTTCTTTATGAATTTCTGCTCTTTAACTTTATAAACAAAAAAGACTCTACCAAAATGTTTTAGAATTGTACCGTCTTTTCAGATTTCAATGATTAAAATATGATTAGTTAGTCTTTTATAAAACAATCGTACACTATTTATAACATGTAGTGTTATTTTGGTTTTATGACAACTGTTCAGATGTGACAAAAGAATCTACAAATAAAGATTTCTCCATTTTATTGTTTTGAAACTTTTCCCAATTTCATCTAATCATTCTAATGTTCCCATTTCAACACATACATGTCAGTAGTATTGAACATTTTTTGAAAAGGATAAATGTGGACAAAATTATTTTATTCTGGATTTAAATTGTCGCAGTTATTATGTTTGGAGCATATTACATATGCAAATTCTTCCCGCATTTAACAACACCAAATGGTTGTAGTCGCCTAATTTAGATGATGAAGAAGTAACTCTGATATGAAATCGCTTCCGTAGATTAAAGTGAGAGATAATTGAGCAATAAAATTGATTGACTTGTCCTGCACATCTTCATTGGTATTTCCTGGTTATAAAAAATGTTGATTTATCGTATTTAAGTGTATATCTGACCATCATTTATTTTTTCAATTTCATGAGAGGAATTACCGCTCTGAATCTTTCCATACTGTATGTTTGTTAAGTTTTTTCTCACGGATTTGATTTTGATGAAATGAGCTCTTGCTAAAACTTTGCAAAAAGCAGTATGGTAAATTAAATATTATCTCTTCTACGTGTTATTATACCTTCTACTCTGCTAAATTTAAAATGTACGCTAACACGAGATCATCCAGATGAATTATAAGTAGTTACGATTTGTACTGCTTGAATGTAGAGTCTATCAGTTCTTTTTTTTATTAAAACCATATTTTTATGTTTTAAATCTATTAAATCGCTAAATCTTTTGATTGAATAAAAATAAGCAAGAGATTTCTTGTAAGTGTACTTTTGTCAAAATAATAAGAGCAGTCTAATATTAATTCGAATAAGTTCAATTTTCATATTCCCTGTCGATGTCGTAATATTATCAGAGGCGTTATAAGCTCAAATCACTCACAAAACACAAAAAACATGAGGAGGGGAAAATTTCCAGTCTTTATGATTAGTTTAAAACTGCAATCCTCTGAAATGACGGAGGAAATGGAGTATTAGTATTTTTTATGCGGTATTCGATATCCGTAAAAATAAAAGCACAAATCTTCTCATCTTATCATCAAATTCTAATTTCAACTTGGAAAAGTATTTCGTTAAGATATTTTAATGGCACTAAAAACAGCTGAAGAACAAATTTTTTTCATTATAATAACATTCGTATTGTCCTTTGAGTATATTCCCACGATGGAAGTTTGCACTGTTTGAGATTTAATATCAAAATTTTTCGGTAAAGAAATGAGATTTTGCCAGAGAGTTTGAGAAGTATGTTTATGGTATGAGCTTAATATCCGATGTAGATTGAACTAGAGAATGACCATATCAGTTCAATGTCACAATGTGAGCTCCCGAAACCTCGTATCAACTATCTCACCATGAACACCTTACACAATTTCTACCATTGGAACATAACATTCACTGGAAGCATAACAGCCAACAAAAAGGTGAAATTTACGTCCTGATAGGATGAAGTTTATTCATTTATACGCAGGATGAATTTTGTATGAAATTAACTGGGGATGGAGATCATTCTGGTTTGGACGTGTTTGTATGGTGATGGTATGTTGCTCGGCTGTTACGGTTGAAATTTTCCTACTCAAATAAATCCATCTGGGATTTCAGATTTATAGCGACTCATTCAGTATCAGTATGGGGGAAAGTTTTATTCATGCCAAAATGCTTAAAGACGTAGCAAGTGGTGATATTAATGAAAAGCAAAACAATAGCACTTTTATGGAAAATGTTTACGTATTGAAACGTACTGATCAAATTATCGAATTGAAGACCATCATAATGGACAGGTTAATGCCGCCGAATCGTTAAGTGATCATTCATTTAATTTTCATCTTCAAGCTGCTGGAGAAAAGATAGCTTGCATAAAAGCCAGATATAGGTTATAGATTTAATTCGTTTTTTCTGCAGGACTTTTTTTTCATACGAATGTTTTCTCATCTTGTGGTTCCCACAATTTGAATGCATATTGTTTATATGAAGTGAACTTACGCAGAAGTTTTCAGAGAAACAAGTCATTCGGATTTCGTGTTCTATGTTGATCGTTTGATTAGATTGGTGGTTGAGGAAGGTCTTAACCAACTGCCTTTTACAAACATTGAAATAGAAACTCCAGCATATGCAAAGTATGAAGGTATTGCCTTCTGTCGAGGAAATTGCGGGGTTTCGATATGTCGAGGTGGTGAAGCGATGGAGAAAGCTTTGCGGCAGTGTTGCAGGTTACTTCATGAATTTTGGTTATGAATGAGTTTTCACTGATTCGGTTGACTTATGAGCTTGTTTAGGTTACTCTTCATTCTTACTGAGAACTTCTAGCTCGTTTGTGTTTGTTTGAAATTAATTCAACAATGAGAGAAAAATTCATGAAAGAATCACTACCGCATTAAATTAAATTTTTTGCCATTGCGGATTTGTCGATAACTCAGAAATGATAAAGGCTTCAAGCTTTTATTAGCGTACCGAAAATTATGTAATCAAAAATCAAAACACCAAAAGTTTGTCCACAGGTCTGAGGTATAGGACAGTGACCAGGTGCGAAGGACTTCTGGACGACCATTTTAGGCACCCACGACATAACTGTGTAGTATTTAAAAATTCGATAAAGTGCATCAAATTTGCAGGATATGTCAGCATAAGAAAGTGACTGGATTTTAATGCATCTTAATACTACTTTTTTACATTTTCATACAATTTTCTTCACATCTCTGACGAATAAATATTCATAATACTGAGGACTGAAAACACTCTGAGTCATGTATTGTGATACATTTTGAGTGCAGCAAAGATTTTTATTAATGTTTTTCCCGTTATTGCACTAATTCCATGCCGATCTTGTTCCAGGTCAGTTCGGATTGGTAAAATGTTAGTGGGTGACGATGCAAGATTGTTATATGCTCGATTGATGCCAGATATCAAACATCGGAGAGTACTACTTCTATATCCATTACTTAGTAAGTTTTTCTGAATCTATTATAATAACTTCAAATATGGAAATATCGAACGTTTATTTATCCATATAAGATTGCGACGAAACACTTTTGGTATTTTATAATTTTCATAGAAACTTGCATTTTAGCCTTTCATATATATTCATCCGATTCAAGTACTTGCTGATCATTGCGTGAACCATAACTGGTTGGTGAAATGGTCACTATGAGATCAGTGAAAATATTCCTTATACAATAAAAGCCTTGTACATTAAAAATTAAAACTTTGGAATATTTTTTAACGCTAAAATTCAATGAAAGTCGTCCATTTTTATGCGGATGAGTAATTTACCTTCTAAATTTAAAGGCACTTAGTCATTTTCTTCTATGTTCTTTAACCGTTGTATTTCCAGGTACAGGTACCACAATAATTAAGGCAGTATCGGTATTAGTGGAAAATGGTGTAATCGAAGAGAACATTTTACTGCTAACTTTATTCGCAACACCTACGGGTAAGTTTTAAATTTTAAGATTTTGAAATTATTTTGAAAAAAATTAAAGTTTACATAAATTCCGTGGGAAAGACTCTAATTTCAATCTTCATTATTTTCTCATTGGATGTCCCATGCAAAATAAGACAAGGTTTTATTTTGCAGGAATCAAACAGGTTATGAGTCAGTTTCCAAAGATATCCATACTCACGAGCGACATCAACCCCTTGATACCATTCTGGTTTACAACTAAATATTTTGGCACCGATTAAATCATTCTGTACAATCAACTTTGAATTGTTTAAAATATTGTTATCCTATGTGTTTCCTTAAATTCAGAAATTACCGTGAATTTTGCTTTGCTGTCTTCTTTCGAAGTTTCTCAATGATCGGGAATGAAATGAAATGCCGAAAAATTGTAATCACCACTCTAAGTAATTTTTTTTGTTGTGTCTCATTAACAGTTGATTTCACGTGACGTCGTATCAAATAATTGAACAAAAGCCTATGGTATAGCACTTACATACACTGACGTAGTTATTGCTAGTTTAGTTATTTAAAGCATGAGAAGTCCTTTCTTCAAAGTAAATGAAACAATGAATGAATTGCACAAATATTACAATAGAATAACAAGGAAATGAGTGTTAGGATATTACTTCCCAAAATCATTTCTGATCATCTTACACTTTTAAAAATATTTTTAGATAAAACTGTTCATTAAAAGAGAAAACCTCTCTCGAATGAGAATACAAGTCAAAACATTGGTAAAAATGGAGAGAAAGAGGAGGGGAAGGAAAAGGTAATTGTCCGAATTTAATACCAAAGAGTGGGATTATCGTTGAAAGAGCTAAGAAGTAGGCTGAAAATGAGCTTGTTATCTCTCACTTGGAAGGCTTGTATAGCTCAAGATTCATTCGCATACCAGATAGGGGTTACCTTTCATGTCATGCTACTATTCCGGCAAATTAATTTCAGGACCGTGGAGTTTTAAATCAGAAGACAATCAAAAAAGCTAGCCGCACAAGATGGATTTAAGGAGACGACTCACCTAAATTCACACACAATGGTCATCGTCATTCAACCTCATCTTCATCTTCGAAATCTTCATCTTCCAGCTCTACCTCATCTTCATCTTCCAACTCTATTTGTTCATCCTCATTTCCTTCCGTCTCTTCACTCTTTACCTTATCTCTTTCTTCGTCGATATTACTACGCATTACGTTATCATTTTCTGAATCTTCCTTGGAGTCAGCATTATCACTTGAACTACCCAAACCACTTGATACATCCCTACCATCATTCTCCATCTCTTCATCAGTCATTCCCTCTTCATCCCCTTCCTGCCCATCCTCCCCCTCCTCATCATAATTATCATCGTATTCCTCGGACATTTCACCTTCACTTGTACCCTCTTCTTCATTTTCCTCATCTTTCCCTTCATCGTCGTCCTCATCTTCCTGAAATTAAATTTTTTTTACAGATAACATGAATTAGAAAAACTGAAGCGATATCGATAGGATCACAAGCACGAATAGACTTTTTCCTTTCAATAGTAAAATGTGCAGTGGGAAAATGGCAGCGTGTTCCCCATTTAAAATGGCCAAAAAACAAGTATTTCGCTTACAATTTTTCATAACTCTTATCATAATTAAAATATACTAAGAAACTGCAACTAATTCAGCTTATTGCAGTATAAAATAGCAATCTGTTCGTTCATAACTTCAGTGGATAATTTCCTGTTCTGCTTAATATATACATCCTCTGATCTACCCATCAATGGAACACTTCACTCTTCGATCTTCTCAGTAATCACATTCACTGATCTTTCAGTCCAGCAATTTTAAACTATCTGTTAACCTAATCCAATTGCATCAATTACCCAAATGAATGCAGTGAACACTTGCAATATTTATAAGGAAAAAAGTTCAACTTTCAGAGCATTGCTAAATTAAAATTTCGAGTTTTAAACAGTGCTGCCATGAAGCGTTTGGCACAGAAAAAATACTGAATTAAGCGAAAGCTTTGCAGGCATGCTTTAAATTTTTGGATGTAACAAGAGGAAGTCATTTTCACAGAATTTCATGCTTGAAACAAGATTACTCTGATTTGTTCCAAATTTCTTTATATTTCTGTGTGGTGCAGAACAGTCATGGAAAACAAATATTACAAAGTAGCGTGAAGTGCGGAGGGCGATCACATAGACAAAAGATATTCATTACTTACCTTATAAGTGATTCACTTTTTTTGCTAAAAAAATATTTCACAACTTTTAATGCTTTTGCTGTTTGATATAGCCGGTAATTCTATAAATGTCCATGTAAACAGGTATTTACTATGTTGTGTAACTTCACTATTATGTAAATTATAAGACATCTATCAAATGAAAATATGATTTATTTGAAGCCTTTTATCCCTTCTTTATTTTTTCCCAGTCTTCTTCCTACTGTTTTCCACGAAGTATAAAAATAGCTAATGGATGTAACATATTGAGGAACATATATTTTAAAAGTATACTACAATTTTTTAAGGATTTCTTTGATTTTTTCTGTACTATTATCTTTGATTGTAGTTTGACAAATAAAATTACGATAACGAAAAAAAGTATAAGGATAAGCAAAAATAATACCCCGTACATCATAGAGCACTTTTTATATCAGAATTTCAGAAAATAATTTCGAAAACTAAAAAACAAAGTTCTAAATATTCAGTAGCAGAACTTACGGCTGATGAAGGTATCAAGCGAAGAAATTCTGGTAATTGATTGTCTTCAACTGCTTCCTCAAAATCCATATAATTCTGCAAATTTTAATAGTTAAATCAGCAAAAATTCAAGTGGCATCACATGCCTACTGTTTCTATGATAGATATTACACGTTATGATAGAGTATTTATCATATTTATCATATTTTTTAATATTTATCAATTATTAAGATATTGTTCAAACAACATCTTATCCAGCTCTCTCAGTTGTTCTGACGATTAATTTCTTTTTTCCTTTTAATTGGAACGATAATGCCCCATAGTTCTTAATTTTATATTTGCAGATCTCATGATTATCTCTATCTAAATTCTTTGAACTAAGAAAAACTTACTCCTAGATATTCATCATCAACAAAAAACTGAGGCGGTAATGGAATTCCATCGCACCGTTTATTCAGGGCATTTTGCCGCATGAAGTCTCGATACTGTTCATTACCCCGTAATGTTATGTCAATCGCTTTAAATGGAACACCTAATCCATCAAGTACCATTAGCACTTTCTGCACTTGTTTACGGACCTAAAATTTTATTACAATATAAAATTAAGAAGAATAACCTGACAATTCAGTTTTCACTTTAATCTCTTCAATCTCACAATCTTGTGGAGCAGTCCATTAAAATCAGGCCTACTGATGAATTCCAAGTCCGAAAAGAAAGAAGCACAGTGAACGTTTAAATTCAAAATGGTCTATAACATGAAACAAAGTAATGTGCTTTTCAATATGACTCATTTATTTCATGTCTACAAGTTTTTAAAAAGCAAAATTAATTCCTTCATACTTTGTTCTTTTTTTATCTTTTAAATTCGTTTCTTCAATTTAATCTCCACTTCATAGTCTTATTAAGAATCACCTAAATAAGCTACAATTATTATTACAACAGTTTATCTCACAGAATGGAAATTTCATTCTCTTCAATTTCTTTTATTTGACATCTATTTATGCCTTATAATTTTTATATTTGCATCATTTCTATTCCTGCCTTTTGCAAAAAATTAGAATGAAGTAAATTTTTTCCTCTTTGTCACAATGACAGCATTTCTACAAACATAAGCTTATGGTATATAGTGTTTACATTGATATATATTTTAGATGAGGAAAACTGTCACATCCTCTTAGAATTTAGGACAGCAATGATGATCTCTAAAGATAGTGAAAGTATTTGATAGATTGTTCTATAAATATCACGCAGTACGATAATAAGACATTTTTCTACGTATTGAAATTTTTCAAAGAAACAAAAATTGCGAATAACTTGGATGATCACACATCGCTATTGTTCTTTCTTTAATATTTTTTCGAAAATATTTGAAAAATCTGCCAACTTGTCGCTGGAAAAATGCTCACATTCTTCCTCTCTTACTCAGAGGTTGCAAGGAACTTTGTTTTCTTTGTCATACGAATGATAGATATAGAACGAAACAATTATATTACGAAGAATAAAGAACAGAACTTAGTAAACATAAGTGCAAAAGAGGAGAAAGTAGAAACTTTAATTGAAAAGATCTTATTATTGATGATAAAACATACGGCAATTCACCTAAACTGAATTAATAAGATGGAAATCAATTTGAATCAAAAAATAATAACATCAAAACCAGTCTGAAAAATGAAGATAATATCCTCTCTACAATATTATTGTTAATAGATGCACTATGAACAGCATCTTGTACTATAAAAAGATGGAAAATTTTAATATGAGAATATGTTAATTAATGTAATACCAACAAATTTGCATGTTCCTTCTCGTGCATTGGATAAAAGTATCAAATTCTAATAAAATCTGAAGGAGCTAAATTCAATTCGAAATTTTCATCGCATTATTCATATCCCCATTGACGTATGGAAACCTATATGTATAGCTCATACTAAGTAAAAATCAACAAAAATCATTTCTCATTTTCAAACAGTTATATTACCCGTAATTTATTTGGATTAAAAAATCCTGAATTTTTGAAGAAAATTTCCCAAATGGAAGCTGAAGTCCTACCAATAAATAAATAAAGTTACTGCCCAAGCCACAAACTTCAGATCAACTCTTAGATATAATCAATTTATGTTTTGAACTCCCTTATTCCCAAATTCGAAAAGTTAGCGGAAAATTTGATCACAGAAAGTATGCATTGAAGTATGATGCAGTGAAGTTCATCGTAAAAATACACTAAAAATTCGGTATGCTCCTAATAAAAATAAAATATCAAACCTTTACAAATCCACCTCAGTAAAGCGTAATATAATCTGAATGAAAAATTGGGGAGTGATCAAAATTAACAAGATCAAATTTCAATAAGTTTTAATCCGATTTCCCGGTCTGCAAAACATTTCTCATCCACATTGATCATCCCGTATCAATAATTTTGCATGACTTCTTCCATATCTGATAATTTTATAGTTTCAAAAAACAATTATGCTGATTCCAAGTCTTCCTCAATATATCCTGTTTTATATCTTATATCTTTGACCAATCAGCTACCCAATTTTTCATGAGGAATATTTGAATTTAAACACAAGGAAGAGAGCAAGCTCGAAATATTTCAATTTATCGCTTTCAGAATTGATTATAAAAATTTTCATCACCAAAACATTGAATAGTTCCTTTATATGAAGTGATCAAGATGATCCCTTAAATTTCCTTCCATTATTTAAAAGCCAGTTATTTTTTTCTATGCTTACCGAAATTGAAGGACAAAATTAGAATGCTTAATTATATGGAATAAAAATTCCCCATTTCATATATTTAGCCTTTTCAGAGAAACATATAATAAAAACTATTCCCAGGATTCATCAACCATAATGATTGCTCAAACAATGAAATCTTTACTAATTATTTTTGATTTTGATAGAGAAGAAAACATAAGACTTTATCTCATGAATTTGTCTTGTTTTGACAGAAAATCCTATTTTAAACAAACAATCCATACCATATTTTGTATAGTTTTTATGAACGAAATGAAAGCAAATGAGAGAGAAGAAAAAGGATCGAAATTATATTTACCAATAAATGCAATCCCGTGAAGGTAAGAGAACGATTCCTTTGTTATTCGACCAATGTTACTTTTCATTTAACAAGATTTAATGAGTCTATAAACAATACAAGATAACTGATTGATGGATGAATGATGATAGAGTGCGGAAGAAGAGGACAGAGGGAGGCAGAAGAACAAAAGCTTTGACACTTTCGAGCATACATATTTTGGCTCAGGCAATGCTTTCTAAATTTTTATGCAAACATTTCAGTTAATTAATAAAACTAATATGAATAAGATTTGAATAAGCTTATATCACATCTACGCAACATTATATCAAAACTTGAAAAATTCACTCAAAATTCGTTATACGAATTAGACGTAAAAAGATGATCCAAACAAATTCGATCCACAGGAATTCTAGAGAAATGAAGGATAAATAAAGATATTTTTATAATTTGGCATTGAAAGGACAATTAAAAAATTCATTTATTGAGTTAAAATTCAGAGAGTAATTTCCGTACTGTAAATTTAGGCTCTTGAAATTCATGCAAGAACGATGAAGTCGAAGTGACGAAACCCGCAATATTGTATCTTCTCAAATTCATTCCGATCTTTTCCCATTCAAAAAATTCTGCAGTTAAAAATATATCAGTGGTGGGCACGGAAATAGTTATGTGTGATAAAAATACCCATCTTCAAAATATTGTTTTTAAATATGTCACTACAACACAATAGAAAATTATCATCCTGTCAAACTAATCTCTGAAGATTTAGAATGACCAAATCTCCTGAACAATTAGAAAATATTACCTGTCATTAATCTTAGACTTTGTTCAAATAGAAAGAATAGATCGGCAAAAAAATATGTATTGCAAAATATCATATTAAATAAAACTTTTGGATAACTACCTTTTAATTGATAGTCATTGTTGAGGTCACTCAATAGCACTATCAAACAAAATTAAAATAAACTATGCCAGTATCTTCCTAAGACATAAATATCAAACTTCGGAATATGATATGCTTCGGGAAGGCCTTCTAGTTACGATGAGCGAAAAAAAAAACGCTTACCTCAGTATTGGCGGTAATGGAAGCAATATAAACGTTAAGCGTCATCCTCCAAACATCGACAATATTGAGGTTGTACCCAGTTTAGTAAATACGATGAGTCCGTGTAAAAATTTCTTCCAGCCGATGCCTATTTTCTTTTTCCAATAGGAACAATTTGGTTTGTCCACAAGCTGAATAAAGAGTATACTGCTATAGTTTTCTTAAAGCTTTTGCTGAAAAAGCGCAGAGACAAGCAGACGAAATTATTTATGATAGAGATAAAATTCACTAACAAACGAACAGACACATACACATTCTCGTAAAATATTACGCACAGACAAAAGCATAAGAAGAAACATGCGAACAAACACAAATTCAAAGATGCACATAACTTTCTTTCAATGGCACTTTTATTTGTACAACAAAACGAAATAATGCTCTCTTCTCATCATTGATACAATTACTTCTTCATATGATGCGTATGTCTGTGTATGTTTATGTATGTGTATGTATGCATATGAGTGTTTATATATATGCATATGTCTATATGTCTGTATGTATCTATTTAAAATGTCAAGTTATATTTCACTAATTATAGGAGAGTTTTTGGTCTCAATCTGCCAGTGGACCCACCCTTCCAAACTTGAAGATTCAAACTGATGGAAGAAGTATGAGTGTGTGTATCTTAGTTGACAAATGTGAAAATCGCTGAACTGATATTAGACAGACGACCTCCCTTAATCAGTTCCTCTTTTTCATTAATTTAATGTCCATTCTGTGGATGGTCATTCATATCTTGTCCAGCCTTTCTCAAATCGACAGTTTTTTTAAATGAAATGTCTTCTTTTCCTATCCATTCTCTTATCCTTCAAGTCCCACTTCATTAGTTCCTATCGATATGGTCGACCTCTCTTGGTTTCAATTACAAATAAATTGGTTGAAAAAAAAATCCAAAAGAGCTAAGAAAAATTCAGGTGGTGAATATGAAATTCTGTTTCAATACACTATGCTTCTCTCTGTTCTACCCAGAGCGCTTGGTATTTGGAAAAGTGGCCAGGGATGAAATATCACCTATTGTTTACTCATTCACAACAGTAACAACTTTCTCCCTACGGGATTTTTGTCTATATCAATTTTAGCATATCTTATCCAACAATAATTCATTCGCTTATCGTTTCATCACTTTTTTGAGCTAAAGGCTGATCTTCTTTAATCTTCTCTTAGCTCAGAAGAAATATTGACCTAAAGAGATGAGCTGGATATTGGAAAACGTAAATTATGTTTGTTTTAAACTTATGTGACCTCAATTTGAATCACCCTCATCGAAATAATTCTATTTTAAAGTATTCTTCAAAATACCATTTTCGAAATGCACGGAGAATCATCAAAAAAATTCGGAAAAAATTTCTAACGTTCAGCCTTCGAATCCGCTATTTTCATGTTTTTATCAGCACAGTGACAAGTATTATTAGTGATCACAATAAAAATCACCGTTATTACTAAACAATCCAATCAGCAATCAACAACAATAACTATAAATAAACATTCTGCAAAATCAATATTCACACAAAATACTTTTGAAGATGAATAATATCCCAACAGTTGCTCTTGATGAACGATACAAACCGACATATGGGAGTTCAGAACGAAAAACAAACTAAGTATTACAGATTTCTAATGTTCAGTGAATCAGCTGATTGGATTGCTCCATAGAGCTTTGTATCGACCGGATCCAGAATTTTCTTTCATCAAGCGATCATGCTGCCAAAACGGTGTATTCTTCTTATGTTCAGCGTAGTCAATGTCAGGATATTCAGGTTGTTCTGGACTTTTGTCTATTTTTCGCATTTGCAAACGCCTTTTCAACAAATCCGCATGTATTTCCTTTGGATCTCGGAATTGGTCCAAGTATCTGCAATTCAAAAACAAAATTTCAAAATATTAAAGTGTGTCGTCAAATGAAAACTTCAAACCAAAAAAGTAGAAGTCAAATCAATCTTTATAAAACATACAAATTAAACGGTTGTGATCTTAATGGAAATTCTTTCTGGTCCACTTTCACTGGCGGATTATACCGATATTCATAAATTGGTGACTTCATTCCTGAAAGATACTGGTAAAATACACTTATACAAAATACACTACACTTAAATACACTTGCCATTTTTTCGACAGTGCAACATTCGCTGAATGCTGTCCTTATCGATAAGTAAGAAATGCGAAGAGTTCTGGAACTTTATGACAGTTGCAACTGTATCATCGATGATCACGGAGGGAAGAGAGAGGACATACAAAATTGGATAAGGGAACAGGAATTAGCCTCAAAATTTCCTAACAATATTTGATATAAAATTTTAAGATATGAATGATTATAAATTCTATGGAAATACTCGCATATATTCCAAAGAAAGTTCGTCTGTAACAAACCAATTCTATGAAGAGCTTCATTAACAGAAACATCCCATGAGGCTTGCGCGAACGAAAGAGCAGAAGGAGTCCATTGTTTTTCGAACTCTTTATATAATTGGCCAACACTGAAGATTCGATCCATCAGCATTACACTGAAAATCGAAACAGAAAACAAATTATCACAATAATATCCAAAACAACAATACTATCAACTCACAATTATGTCAATCTTATCATTATTTTAATACATTCAATCCTATTTTTTGTTATAAACCTTATTGCAATTTACTAACTTCCATTAACTTTTTATATCGTCTCAACATAGTTACAGTTGACAATACGAACTTTGCTTTCCTTTATTAACAAAAAATATATTGTTGCTAAAACAATCAACACCTACCTTTTTGGTTTCCTTGACGTTAAATTAACAACTTCATTATGCCGCAACAACAAACAAGCAATTCTGTGATAACCAGTTCCTTTGAACGGCACTACTTGCAGATACGGAACTATTTCTGCCCCCTCAGCTACAGATTTGCCATCGGGAATATTGGCCACTAACCAATGGACAACATCGCCATCACAATCATATGGGTTTCCATCAAGATTCAATAATACGAATGAATTGAATCCGCCACCTAATGATTCAACCGATATAGTTGGCTTATTACCTAAACATTGATAATAAAACACAATCTTCGAAATAAAAAGAGACTATTCAACTGCAAGAACCTATACTGGTCTGAATGATTTGAACTAAATTTCAAAAATTTGTTCTAGGCATTTTCAAAATCATCAAAAGGTCTATCTCAATTAACTTATCCAAAACAATATTTAAAAATTTCCGTTTTATTTCGATATATATATATATATATATATATGTACTTGTATCAGCGGCATCAATCAGATTTCCCTGATACAGACCAACGCTGTCCCACTTTAGCTGCATATTTTGTGTATTATGGAAGAAAACGTTTGCGTGGAAAAGATCATCAAATATGCGAAAGTGATGAAAAATACTCAACTGCCAATGCTCCACTGCTTTTAAATCTATTGTTACTGCAATAATAGTATAAACTCTATCATTCTCAATACAAGAAAATTTTGCATTATAGAGCATATACAGAAACATAAAATGAGTTGTTTAAATCTTATCATTCATCATGAAATGATAATCAAACTAACCGAAAAGAAGTAATGAAAAATTCTGTCTAAATTATGGAGGAAAAAGAGAAATGTGAGAAATCAAATATTTTATGGTATCGAAAGTAAAGAAGTCAAACTTACACTGTATTTTCCTAGACAATTTCAGAACATTTTTCGACTCCGATGGTGGCGATGGTATCGGTATCGAATTCTTCCTCTTGAAACCAATATCATATCTTTGTATCTCCGGTACTGTAACAGTAAGAATTATTGAAATTCTGACTTCAAAGTTTTAATTCCAGTTTATTCAAAGAAGACTTCTAAGAAAAGCTCCTTAGCTGAATTATAAAAGCTGGGTGAATGATAGAAAAGGAAATAACCTGCTAAGCGTTCCTTCAGTGACAATAAATGATTTTCTGGATCAATGACATACATTTTTGGGTAAAGTAATGGTTTTGTTACTCGTGCTTTATACCAAGCATTCGGCTCATAAAATCTGCAAGGAAAATATGGAGAAATATTCATCCAATTGCAGATTGATAATAGCAGCCATAGATTTACGTATTAAGCAATCAGATCAACCCCTCAATTTTCGACAGAGTCCAAAACAGAAGTTCAGCGAGTAAAAATGAACCACTCGACACCTTTCCATCGAAGGGAAACTGCCACACTACTATGAGAGATCCAACCCCATCCATATGTTGAAAAGATAATTTTATTTCATGGAGAAGACTTCTATCAATTGTCTAATTGACAAACCAAAATTCATGTAAAATAATTAGCTCTAAAATACAAACCTATTACGATAAAATGCAGCTGGGCCAGCCCAAGCGATAACTTTAGGCCTCCATGGTCGAGCAACACGTGGCGTACCCTTAATACGATGAGCTTCTTTTACATATATATCGGCATAAATTGAACGTGGTACTCGCTTCATTGATCTAAAATTCGATTCAACAAATTTTAAGAAAATTAAGTCATTTGAACTAGAAGGATTATTTTGGTTAAAATGGTTAATTAAATCCCTCACGATAAGCATATCTATGAATCTCTTCGAAGCCTAATGAACATTGTACGGTTGCTGCTAATTCATCCAAACAATCCCTGGTATTTAACCTTCCCATCCTTCCTGCACTCAACGGCCGCATTAAATAACTTCACTTCGTGGCATTCAAGTGTTGTGGGGTTGGGTGTGTTGTTCTGTAGTTAGCTGACTTCAATTTCACAGAGATTTGAGAGTGTGGGATCTTTAAGGTCGATCAATAGTATAGTAAATGTGCAGTGTGAAGGTTCTGGTAAAAAACGTTATTTCCAAGTGTAGCGCATTTCGAAAGTTTGGCTGCAATGAGACGTACATATCTGCTTGCACATATTTGCATGTTTGTATGGCTACCCGCTCGTTTTTATTCGTTGAATGTTCGAGCGTTACCCCGATCGTTTCAACGTTACGGAGTGATTCAAATTGCCGCCCAACATTTGGTAATGTTTGTTCGGCTTGTTTTACGCTTCACTTACAATGGACGTGCGGAAGTAGTTATTCAGTGACGGCAAAATAATATTTTCCAGGCGGTTAGTTGTCGCACTTTCATGCAGACAATGCCGGAGTGCGCTATTATGGATAGAATAACCAATATACAGCGATTTGGTGGACATCGAAGGCGATGAAAGATTGGCGAGAAACGCTAGATGATAGGGAAGCTGTGAAGTGTCTCGTTGATGGACCTGCAAGCAGTGATATACGCCAGGATGAAAAGTGTAGTATACGATCGTTGTGCATGCACGATATGGATATTGTTAAAACAATTTGCCTCGAATCTTTTCCTATACAGTATCCGGACTGCTGGTTTGAGGAAGTGTTGAATGGTAAATTAATTAGTTTCGGAATCACTTATGAAGGTGCACTTGCTGCTATTCTCGTCGCTGAGCTCAAAATCTTATCTCAGTGCAATGCTGAGGTTTGCCATTCTTTGTTCCTTTACAAATTTGATGAAATGTACACATCAAACTTATTAGCACGGTGGAATACAGTAGAGTACATTCTGGAAAACTTCAGGCAATCGAAATAAAAGAACAGAAGAAAGAGGAATGTGTAGATCTCCAATATAACCTGATCACGAAATAAATTAAATGGAATAATTTTGCAGACTTCAAAAGGCATTTGTCAGAAGTGTAGCATTAATGAGTCTGACACTGTATGAATGGATAAATAAGTAGGTTCGATATTTTTGAGTTTTACTTTTAGGATCGCGATCTTTTATCGGGTAAATGTTTACCGGTTGTATATATATTAAGCGTTGCTGTGCGTCCACCTTATCGTCGACGTGGTTTCGCTTCACGTCTGCTCGATCATCTTATGCTCACGGTGGTGCAGCGGCCACCATATCCAAAAGCTGTTTATTTACACGTATTAGCCACAAACTACGGTGCTATAAATTTCTATAAAAAACGTGGTTTTTGCCACCATACTACGCTCTTGTAAGTTTCGTTTTCTTGTTTTATGTAAATGTTGATTCGGTTATCCCAGTTTATTACTAAGCCAAAGAATTGACAAGTTTTTTGCGTTTATTAGTTGCTGTAGATATTACTTATGAAGCATGGGTAGATCGCTTATAATTACAGGAACCTGAAGATGTGCATTGCAAATTATTCCTATTTTTTTAACAATCTTCACTGTCTTATGATAGCTCAGTTATCCAACTAATCACTTTTCATAGTATTTCATATGAGTGTAGATTTAAAGCATGTTTCAACTAGTTAGAGGAAGGAGTAGTGATTAACGATCATATTTAATTCTTGTTCTTATAGTTGATGTTTTTAAAACAATTTGCGGCACTGAAATGCAATCGACTCAGTTATTTTGCTTCTCTAAGCTATTATACTGTAATGTAATCTACTCGTTGCCGCTGATCCTAGGATTTTCTAGTCGTTCATAACTTAGGCATGGTATGACTGGAATCAATTTCTGTTTCCATAAGAAAGGCTCATGAGGTCATCCGTCAAACCATCTCATTTAATCCTTCCATTGGGTAGGTGCTGATCATTTCAGAGCTGTTCACTATCGATTAAGGTGGCATTTTGCTTTTGATAAAATTCGTTACAGGGATTTCATTACAGGAACTACTATCGCATCAATGATACATTCGGTGATGGCTTAACATTTGTGCTCTATGCCAATGGCGCATGCGCACCATGGTCCGTTTATGAACTCTGCTCACTATTTTCTGCTGTTCTTTGTTTCCCACTAAGGATTATTCTCAAAATGAAATACATCTTGGGTTTGTAGCAAATTATTACGCAACAGACCATGTGTTGCGTGTTTTTAGTTTAGGAAAATATCACAGCTGCACCAGATTTTGTTCGGTAACATCAGTGCTGGTCTTTAAAGTTCACGACTTCAAAAAGAATTGAAGGTTCCTAAAATTTCCAATTTTTATGATTCTTAAAAAAGAAAGTAGAAAAAATTTTCATAGTTTTGTTTGCTAAATTCTGTGAATATCCCATTTTTTTTGCTTATTTCAATCACATAAAATGATAGTTCATAACAATGTACATCTACCGCTAGTTTTGAATATGCATTTGTTGATTCCAGTTTTGTATGTCATTCCTGTTTGTTTTTTTATCATAATTGCCTTGTCAAAACAGAAGTTTCATCATATGGAGATGCAGATAAGTAACTGTGTTTGCATCCCAAATTACATCACAATAACTTTTTTAACCTCAGATAAGCATGTATTCATTAATTTTATCTGGTTGCTAAAAGAGTTCAAAGTTTCACTTTCCAAAATTTACCAAAATTTCATCACATCAGTACTCGCGCTTTTGTTTTCACATATATGGTGCTGTGAGTTTCGATGGCCATGCGAAGTCCAAGCACTCGTCTCTTAAGAATATCCAACGAAGTATAAACATTGTATCATTGCTTTTTATGTATTAATCGTTTGAATTTGCATTAACATGTTATGAATTATCGGAAGTTTTAGATCATAGTTTTAGATGATGTATTGAATATGAGGACTTATATTCGAAAATTTTTTTTGAAAATGTATATTTTTTAATGCCTATTAGAGATTATTCTTTGCGGAATTTATATCACGCACGTTATTCTAATATATTTTTGAAGATTTGTGTTGAGAAATTGAGAATACATATATTTCTTTTTTTTTTCTCAAATTCAAAAGAGAAGAAAGCAGATATTTTGAGCTTTTATTTATTTAACATTAAAAACATTATAATTGAAATCCATCTATTTTGTAGAATTTATTTATATAAATTCATTTAAATTTAAGAAAATATTTAAGGTTTTGAATTCAAAGATTGCTAGAACATTTGCTTGGAAAATGGTGTGATTTTACTAAATAAAAAATATTGTAATGCCGTTAACCAGTTATATATTGCTTTATTCTGCTTGTTTAGCTTTAGGAATATAAATTTATGTATAAATGAATCATCGTCAAATAAATGATTGTAAAGAAAAAATTTCATTTGGAAGTTAATTTAGGAATGTTATTCACTTTCCAGTAAAATATTTGGTGGATAAGAATTTTGACTTAAAGAAAAAAAAAGATACCAAGGAAAAAGAATTTTGACTTTAAGTCAAAATTCTTTTTCCTTGGTATCTTTTTTTTAACAGTTGCTATTGAACCAATGGTTTTCATTTTTCAATTTCAAGAGAGGAGTAAACAATGCGTGTTTGAGTGCGGATTAGTTGCAAATTTGAAATGAATGAAAAGACAGGTGCGCTCCAAATTAATGAATGATTGCTACAGGTGCATGTCGCAGAGAACGAGAGTTTTAAAAGGCGTTTATAAGTCTGCCCCATTAGTTCATGATTTATTAGGATTGCTTTCCTAAAAAGGCAATCTTGGTCTGGGTGTTCAACAGTTACGCTATTGGCTATGTGGCTGAAATATCATATTCCTATTAGATTTTAAAAACATCTGAAACTTAAATTACAGATATGGACGGAGATATATTCGAACAGCCACTGACAGCTGAATCATTGCAGCAAATTTTGGCTTTTTTTAAGAAAAATGGTTTGACGGTAAATTTTTTTTCTCTATAAGAATAGAGAGAATTGTCAAGGATTGGTCGCGATCTGTCTAATGACTATAATAAATTATTTTGAGGAATCCGAGGAAACCTTGTCAAGAGAAGCTGCAACCGTTTTACACCTTTCGAAAAATGACGTTGATGGTGACAGTAATAAGTACATTTTCTTTTAATTTATTTTGTAATCGAGTTTTTAATAACAAGCAATAATATATGGTAAGAATATTATCAAATTCCACAAATACTTTGATAATATTATTTTTAAATATTATCAAAGCACTGCTGATTGTATTATATTGCTAATCAGCAAACGATAACATGATGTTTGTACTGCATCACGACCACTCTTGAAATTAATGGGCAATTTTAGTGACGCTATTATGCACGAATTCTCTACGCTTCTGGGTCATATTGATTCTTCCTTTGACAATTTCCGAGCAGAACTATCTGCTTTAATATTTCCGATATTTGCTCACTTATATATACAGCTTGTTGCTGAAGGACATAGTTTGCAAGGTTTGCGTTGGCTTGCGATTATTTCATAATTATATATTTTTTTAAATTCTCTTCAGCTGTTTTTAGCCACTTTGCTTAAGCTAAAAGTTTGGGACAGTTTTATTATTTCAGCGGCCTTATTCAGTGAGAAATTTTGTCGATATATACCTTCGATGTACGAAGAACAGGCAAAATTGCTTACCCGCATTTCTACTCATAGTCAGGCCGCTAATCATGCATTGGTTCAGGCTCTAACGTACAGTTTTTTTCGATCTAGTTAAATAATTGCATTGTATTGGCAAATTCCGAAATTTTCCTTAAAATTTGTTCAGGATTTTTGAAAATTGTAATTGCCATAATTTATGTTAACGAATTTCCAGGTGACAGTGGTTTCCAATTTAGCCCACTGATTTTAGAAATTATGTTTAGAAGATTGATAAAGTTAAACGATACATTTTGAAGGAAGAACCAGTTTGCTGTTCGCATATCAAAATCAGCAATCAAACAACTGGAACCTTTCTTAACCCGAAATAGCATTGTTCGGGACGTGATGCGAGATCACTTGCACATTGAAGGTGATTTTTCAATGTTGAAGAATCTATGGATTTCAGTTTCCTATTTATGCTTTACATTTTTTTGGCATGCTTGAGACATGAAAATATCCTAATCGTGATTCATTTACTTAAGAAGGTATTTTTCCCTTATTCATAAAATAATTGAAATTTCAATGCTCTACAAGTAATTCTGAAATAAAATGACATCACTGAATGGGGTATCTTTGGAGTTTGTTAGTGAAGAGAAAGGAATTTTAAAGAATCGTCGAAATTTGAAATTATATTAAATGCATTTAGCAATTGATGGTTCGCGGACAAAACCAGCTACAGAAGCAAGCCTGGGAGGTATTCTTGGTCAAATCAGCAAACAAGGTAATGTCATTCACTTTTCAAATTACCGTGAAAATTCCCATCTGTTTATGAAAAATTTTGATTTGGGAACAGCCACTTTGTTTTTCCACTTCCAGAAGTTTTATGTCACATGAGTGGCTTCTCATTAAATGTGTTATCAGTCCCCTGTTAATTACCTTTTTGCTAAAATCATATTTCACTTTAGGAAATGCTTTGAATAACTTATTTGTTTAATTTTTATCTATCTGAGCCTAACTGATTTTCAGAAAGACGGCATAAAATGTTTTATGGGACAATTAAGGAAGATTTTTCAACACAGTTAGGCCTTGAAAAAAAACGGCCAAAAGTTAAAGAAAGAAATGATAGCAAAAAAAAGGACGCAAATGGACCTACACCTGATCGAATACCTCTACCAGCAGCGTTAGTCATCGTACTTTTTCTTTCGAAATGTACTTTTATTAAGAAATTTGTTCTTGACAGAATATTTTTTCCTTATTACACAAGTTTTGGAAATCCATCAAAATCAATTACAGCAGTGAAAAGAGATATATGAAAGAATCGGGTAAAAAAATGCGCATTTGTGTTGACACACCACCATCTGTCTGTCTTTATACAGTGCTGAACTCTCCTGGTGGTCTTACAGCATCTGATATTGCTGAAGACAGTGGAGCTTTGGCGTTGGGTTTTGGAAATTCCAGAATACAGGTATACTCAAGTTGATGTTTTATCTTGACAGATTTAAACTCAGTTTCTGTTTGATAAAGAACTGTTTGATCTATGTGATTTTTTTCGCAATATGTATTCTAGTCTGCATGGCTTTATGTAAGTTTATTGTTTTTTGTAGTAAATCTCTTTAGGTTTTAATACAATTATTGCACATGAAAAAAGATGAGTTGACCATATTAAATTTGCAAGGGAATAAGCTTCAGGCAGGAAAATGGCAGGATACTGCAGAGCAACTACGTTCATTTTCTTTGGTTACTGTTTTGCGAATTTTTCAAAATATGCAACTTTTTTTTCTTTTTTCATAGAAAAATTATACAAAAAAAAATATAAAAAAGAACAATGTCCAAGTCTTGAAGTGCACAACCTTTCAATATTTAATCAGAAAGCTTTGTTATTGTTATTAAGATTCATGCACTAAATGAGGAGAAATTTCGACCGTACAAAAAAATCGATCAGTTGGAACTAATAGAACAAGAATCTGAGGATGCATTGGATCAGGTTTACGATGACACGGAAGCGTCGACATCTCTTACCTTTCAGGTTAGTTTTGTTTTGGTCCGCTGGATTGTAACTTGTCTCAACTTATTCATAGCTTGTATATATATATATATATATATAAAACCTTATAAGAAACTTGATATTTTGCTGAAAATCCTCATCTGTACATTATTTTTTTTTATACCAACGTATATATATATTTTTTCTTCTTCCGCATCCGCTTTTGGCTCTTTTGTTTGTTTGTGCTCCAGCCATAACTTATATTTGATTTCCGAGTATCAGATGCACAAATATTTCTTTGTCCACTTAAAACCCACCTGTTTTCAGGGTCATAGCGGGCCAGTTTATTCGTTGTCATTTTCTCCCGATAAACGCCTACTGCTTTCATCATCACGTGATGGAACAGTTCGTTTGTGGAGTCTCGCCGTTCGTAGTAATGTTGTGGTATATAAGCATGCTGCACCAATTTGGGAGGTCGATCTGTTATTTCACTCTTTTAGTACAAAGTTATATTTTTGCGAATTAATATGTGATCCATTAAACTGTGAACAAAAATTGGACTAATTTCAGGTGCAGTTCTGCCCACGTTCTTATTATTTCGTGACTGGTAGTGCCGATGGTGCTGCAATGCTATGGACAACCGATCGTTTGCAACCATTACGCATTTTCTCAGATGCATTGTCAGATGTCACCTGTATTGATTTCCATCCAAATTGTAATTATTTCGCAGGTGGTAGTGACGATCGCTATGTACGTATTTGGGATGTTTTATCTGGAACATGTGTACGATGCTTCGCGGGTCATAAAGGATCTATTCGAGGATTAAAGGTAAGTTCAAGGAAAAAACTGCGTCCTAAACTGTTTATTATTAGGCTTTTGAAATTTAGAAATTGAAAATCCCCTAAATGTGAAATAATTTCATGTTGAATATGGCAGATTATTGCCCTATCGAATCAAGCACCATTCATCACGCTGTTTCATAGAATCATCCACAAATTTAAACTCCCCGGTTTTTAGTTGTACTATAGATTCTATGGTTTTTGAAAATCATCAGCTTAGTGCCTGGCAAACCTTGCTTTAATTTTACTCGAATTTGTTCGACCGTAATCTGATGTTGCTGGTATTCTAATTAATATCTCCCGGCAATTAAGCCTCTTTCAGTGAACATGCACACAGCATTTCACTATTTGCAATCACTATTACAAATAATATTCATGATAATTCACTACCTGCTTCATTCAGATTTCGCCCTGCGGTCGGTATTTAGCATCATTGGGAAGTGAAGGATCACTTGTTCTCTGGGATATGGCAGTGCAAAAGATGGTTTGCATGCAGGATGTCCCTGCACTTCCATGCCAGGTACCGGTAGAGTTCTCACGTGATGGAGCAGCCTTAGCCGTTGCACAAGCCGACTCAGCGTTGTCATTTTATTCTGTGGATACAGTTACAGCTCATTCCGGTTCGCAGGATCATTTAAATAATGAGCCGAAGTAGGTTAATTTGAGTCATAATTCCTCGCAGTTTGCAAAAGTACAATTCGAAACCGAAATTAATCTCTTTATAAAACGTAGTGAATATAAAAAAGAATCATTAGCAGTCGATGTACTAATGACTATATCAACAATATCAGAACTAGTGATATATGCAGAATCAACATCTTGTTTAGAGTCATGTTCAAAACCACTGTACGTTTTTTTTACGACACTTTCTTTATAGGATAAATCCCACCGGTTTCCATCTATACTCATACGCTACCAAAAATACATCAATTGTCGACTTGCATTTCACACGACGCAATTTGGTTCTGGCTGTGGGCGCTTATAGGCAGTAGATTACAACAATGCTATTGAGAATCTAATAGGCATCAGTAGGTTTAACTGGAGAAACATTTTCGTGTTGTGTGTTCTAACAGTTAAATGTTTATGAAAGCTATATCGCCAATAGTTTGGCAAGAAAAAAAAACGTCCTATATTTCCAAATGTCGTCTATGGCAAATGTAGATCCGCAATCTACATTTGCCGTAGACGAACACTGATTATTGTATTGTTTTATCGTAGTCTTAAACTATTGCAAACATCTTATCTCTAGTCCGTGATCTAATGACCAAGACATAAATGTTTAGATTATGAGGGAATTGCAGTAGCAATTAAAATGATGAGGCAGTAATTTAAATACATTATGTACAAATAAACATATATGATAACCATAACTTACTGGATAACTCGAAAACGACCGATCAACAAATCTACACTTTAACAATAAGTAACAAAACCGTTTACAATGTAGTTGTTCTTTTCTTGTAACCCGAAATTGCACAGCTGTGTGTAGATTCATACAGAACTTCATACTGCGATATGAAATTTCGTTGTTACAGTTTGTGCTACACAATATCGGAGCTGCTAGCACATAATTGTAATGGCTGACAATCAGATTTTTCCATTCTCCCTATCCATATGGAATACAACACTTGGATTGCTTGACCAAAACGACGTTTGTTGTCTAGAAATGTTCCGTAAAGGAATTAAACCTGAAAGTGCTAGCGTAAAAGCCGTAAAGTAGATTTCCCCAATCAATGTCGTGTCATACAATGCAGTAATTGGGGTTACTGCATTTTCATAACTGAATAATATAATGCTTACAATCGATATTACACTTCTACCGAGGTCGCAGGAAAACACTTTATTCTTCCTCTGTTGGTAACCACAAATTCTGAAAAATGATAGGTATATTATTGCAGCAATTAACACAACGGTGACTATTTAGGCTTAATAAACATAAATTTAGTATTTATTTAAAAAGAGATGAACTTATTCATAAAATATTTATATAACTTTTACGATTTTCCAGCACTAAACACTTACTAATGTTGTACAAGCCGTAGCTAGCATGAAGAACCGTGGATTGAATAATATTTTATGGATAAGTGGAGAATGTCCCGATGCAAGCTTTGCAACTCTTTGTCCAGTTGTTACAGACCACGCTACTATACTGCTATCTGTAGAACCACTGAATACATACTGCGCGTCAGCGCAAAATGTTGCATCCAGTTCAATACCTTTACTATTTTCGTGACCTAAAATGAGCAACTTCGCAGTTTCTAGAGAAATGTGCAGTCTTCTCATATATGTTTGTGTTTCAAATTATGCCCTGAACAGAAAGCTTCAGCAAATTAAGAAACTGATGATCACTATTTAAATAATGAAAATAACGATAAAAGTTCTGACACCCGAAGTACACCAAGATAATAACGTCTTTGTACTTCCATTATGTTTGAGAAAAATAAATTCTATCCAGCAGTGCGTTAATAGCTCGTGAATGCCGGTCGCATCGAGTTATCACGACCATCCACAGTTTTCTCCACGCAAAATGATTTGAACTATTTTTTGAATAGAATAGTTATCAAAGGAATTGAACAAACCTCTTAAAACGTGGACCAGTGTTCCTTTAAAGGAATCAATAAGAGTAACAGAAGACCCATTCGTCGTGATCATAATCATTTTACCATCAGGAGAAAACTTCAGACCAGTCCAGTCTTCTTTTGCCTCATTTTCCACCTTAAACGTCGTAAATGGCCCCTGAAAAGAGTGCAGTCAAATATCTCAAATATTATTTTCGAAGATTTTTGAAAGAAGTGCATTGTCTAACAAAAGATTAGAATAATCTCGCAGTGACGAAATATTAGTGATATATGCTCTGCGACACAATCCGGCATTGGATATAAGTCTTTGTTTCAACAAAAAGGAACGAAATACCAGTAAAAAAATATCGTGCAGAAACGATTGTTAAACCGATATCAGTTTAGGATTCAACTTATACAACAGGAACAAATATTTCTGCGCTATCTCAAATACCACATACAAATGTGATGGCTGAAGTATAATGTCTCTTACAGTGAATTACTTCGCACAGCTTTTTCTTTCTTCAAAAAAAAAGCCGAATAGGAAAATCAAACCCACCTTATCAAATGACCGCAAGTCATACAATTTGATTGTGTCAAAATTTATTCCTGCTGCAAATATCAAACCTTCCGGGTCAAAAGCGGCAACAGGTCTTGAAGGCACATGCATCAAACCCTAAAAACAAAATATATGAGATGAGAGAAACCAACAAGTCTGTTCAGTTACACAATGCAACAATTCAGTAAAATACTTTAAAATATTCAAAAATTTTCAATTCTCAAAGAAGTTGAATGAGAATTAGAAAAGCATTAGGCTGCAACATTAAAAAACAAATGAAAATATACCTGACAACTTTGTATTCGCAGATCCCATAAGCGAATTGTTTTATCCAAAGAACCAGAGAGAAACATATCATCTAATGGAGACATACACAGTGTCACTACCCTGGTAGAATCAAAATAAAATTAATTTCCAAGTAACTCAAAAAACAAATGAGTGAAAAGAAAACAAGTTACTTTTTTTGATGTCCAGGAAAATATCTGATGTACTTGTTATCATGCAATGACAGATATCGAATAACATCTAAAAAAGTAAACACAATAAGGAATTCAACAGTTTGTTATCTATAATTCATTCTGACTACTTATTTATTTACATAGAACTATTCAACCCGCGCTCTGGAATTATAAATGCTGGGCTAAGTTTGTCTTATCAGTTCCCATGGGACAGCTCTATGAATAAGTAATGCTTTAAGAATGCCTGTTATTTGTACCAATTTGTACCAATGTTATTTGTACAATTAACTGCTTCCAATCAAATTCTTCTTGAAACGAAGTTAGAAATGATAAAAGAAAAAAACCGTTAACATCTACGCAGTTAACTGAAAACTGACCATCGACTTTCGTGGAACAGTGAATAGCATTTGATGTGTTGTGTGCGAATTGTATCAAATCCACGCCATATTTTTTACTATTTACCTAAAGACTTACGTTCTGACCTAATTTGAAGATGAAGCTAGAAAAATCAAAAAAATTATTATTATTCACTCGCACTTCATTGGAAACTCAGCGAGCTAATTTCCAAATTTACGATACAAAAATCAAGGAGAAATACTTTCTACATACAACTCATACAATCTTACTACCACAAAGATATTACCGAACGACTTTTTTGTC